CAGGACTTCCGTTGTCAATCAAGTGAAATCACGGGCCCAACCTTCTTCTATTCTTCTCGTTCGTTGCTACATCCCAACTCACTTCGTACCACCTGCCTGCTCGTCTGATCCATCTCTCGTCTCTCGCAATCTCAATCGAGCATCAATCACGCGATGGCAAGCTGGTGCGCCCACTCCACTGCACCTGGTCGTGTGCATGTGATTCAAGTCTGAACCTCCCCAGGCTGGATCTCATCGCTCTCATTGCTGTAAGATACTGCGAACCTCACAGTCATACCGAGGAATATTCCAACTGACGAGCTTCGCGCCAGACGATATCCGTGTTTGCGGGCATCGTGTACGGTGCGCTGCTGCTCGTGCGCTCGGTGTCTCAGGGCATCGAGTCTGCCAAGGAAGGGTAAGTAATCAGCGGCCTCCATCCACTGCGCGATGCTAAACGCGTTGTATAGCCTAAAAAATAAAGGAAGTGCGTTAGCGTTCCGCCCCTTAGGCCTACGGCCGCATAACGATACATATGACGCGAATTGCAGTGCTCGTCACGGACAAGGCGTGGAAGTGAAGACATCCAAGCGCTTCGACAGAGAGGATTACGTGGACGCCACACAAAGGTGCGTACTAGTCGCAGTGGCTCGCGTCAGCAGGGGTGTTCAGTATCTGCAGGAACTTTGTGAAAGCCGTCAACGCGGCATCATTCCGCAAGAATGGGGCGCTGGACTCGTCGCCGACCCTGTCCCCTCCCGCGCTTTCCACTGCGCGGTCTTCCTCCAGTGATGGCGAAAAGAAAAGCCGGAATCCATTCAAGCGCGGGGTCAGTGATTCTGGAAAAGACAAATGATGTCTACTGTATTTCTACTATCTGTATTGGTCATGCATGCGGTCACATCTGTCAACACGCTTCCTTGCTTCTGGGATATCGCCAGGTCTCAGAGACGGAACAGGAAAGACAGCTGAGTGTCGTCACAGTAAGCCATCAGCCAGAAGATATGCAGACCGACTTACATCTCCGGGTGTCAAACGTCCCATGGCCTGGGTAAGGAGAGATCCGTTAGTGAGGGTGTCATCCGTAAGGCTCAAAGACTGACTGCATCATCCGTTGAGAGCGTAGCGTTGATCATTGCCGACTTCTTTTCTTGCAGCTGGACAATACGACTCTCGATAGAATCCTCAACGACGAGCTTGATTGCCTTCACTGGCCTACGCTGGCCCAGACGGTGGATACGATCCATAGCCTGGAATTCAACCTGCAAAAAGTTGATCATCTGCAATAACCAACTTCGAAGCAAAGCTCTCACAGCAGGATTCCACCAACTGTCCATCAGATAGACCCGTGAAGCCTCGGTCAAATTCAGAGCAACACCGCCCGCTTTCAGACTGACGAGGAAGACCGTCACCTCGACGTTATTCACTAGACGCCGCATAAACACCTCCTCTTGTGGCTAATGACGAGATTACTCACTGAAGTGTTTGATTGTCGCATCTCGGGCCTGCGGGGACATTGTGCCCTCAAGACGACAGATTTTGAAACCGGCTCGTTGCAGACGGAAGGCAATGAGATCCAAGAAGTTCACAAATTGAGAAAAGACAAGGCTTTTCGTGGTGGCATCCTTCGTCCGCAGATTGCTCAGCTCTTCAACCAGTGCCTCGATCTTGGTCGACGAGCGCCATTTGTCCAAGTTGAGTCGACCTAGGATCCCTTGGCGCGCATTGGGCAGATTTTGCTCCAACTCGAGTGCAGGCGCGTCGAGGTCGATTGTCAGAGGAAGATGGCAGACTGGGCAATCTGGCTGTCTTGATCATCAGTACAGACCAAGGGCGGCAAAAATGAATTCGACCTGATGTTCCATTGCGGTATCGAGATATTGTTTGATGCACTCGCGATCGAAAATGTGGCGACATTTTGACTGAATCGCATCCTCGGCAACATCATTGCAGATTCGACACACAGTGGACTCGTCCGCTTCGTCCTTGAAAAACTTTGCTGCGCTGGTCTTACTCCTCAGTACAAGATCCGGGTGGCATGCCATTTGACGCATTCGGGTAAGCCTGCGCACGATTCATGTGCGTTTCATCGTTCAGTTGAAGGACTCACAAACTGAAGATGTTCGAATAATCTATGCTTGGTTAGTATGTATTGTAAAAGGCTGAGGAAAGAATGCCGCACTGTTCAAGACTGTGCCCTCGTCTAGATAGGTGCTAAACTGCCGTTTTGCGTCGGAGAACAAGGAAATATATAGCTCCTTCTCCTCGGGACTAAAATGATCACGGCGGACGATTACAGTACGTGGCGGAAGACCAAGATCATCCGCCCGTTGTAACTTGGTGCGTCGAAGCATCATCCGATCTAAAAGAATCTTGAGTTTCTTGAAAGCAGTTTCTCCAGGCCCGGCCATGGCGTGTTTTTGGATCGGGGTGAGAATCTCGTTGTTCCAGAAACAAGTCTGAAGTTGGAGTCAGTTGTCAGTAAATTCAATCGTTGAGGGCACCCGACATGCTGCATGGGACTGTGACCACAGCCTGATATTGTGTCAGAATACACGAAGATAGGCGGACGAGCAAAGTCAAACGTACCGTCACAAGATTTGCGGTCGGAGAACTTCCAATGCAGCGACTTGCATTCACACTTTTTACCTGCAAAGGGAGCTGAGCAGACATAGCAGACGCATGGCCTGCACTCACAGAAATAGAAGCTGAATGGGTCACCCCCGAGGAATCTGACCAAACTGTAAAGCTCTCCAACACGATTTTGCAAGGGCGTTCCCGAAAGGCACCATCGAGCCCGGGCTTGCAGCTCGAACGCTGCCTTTGCTGTGTTGGTCGAGCGCTCCTTAATGTTGTGGGCCTCGTCAAGCTGAGAAGAATGTGAACTTGGCATGCGGGAGGAGAGCAGTGATATGTACAATGATTCTGTCCCATTTGGCCGCATGCAACGGAGACCGTTCTTTGACGATGTGGCCCTTTCTTTTGAAGCCCAGCTCCTGCTTCCGGAAGCAGCTCTCGAGTACAGAGTAGGTCGTGAGAACGACGTCGAATTTTTCCAGCTCGCTAACTTTCGACTCTCGGCCCGCTCCGTGCCAGACAAGGACACGCAGACCGTCGGTGTGTGCCGAGACTGGGAGGTGATCAGCAAAGCCTCCGTCGCGGTGCAGATTGCACTGACTTTCGTTCTTCCATTGCATAATGGCAACAGTGGGCCTAGACATTGGTTATTAGCAAAGTTATGTAAAGCTGGGGCAGACACTCACGCGACGACAAGATTCGGCTTCGCATCGTCTGAAACTAGCAAAGCAATCATTTGTATGGTCTTGCCCATTCCCATTTCATCCTGGATGGTCAATACAGGTTAGTAGCGTGTATTCAAGTGACTCACAGCAAGCATCCCTCCGTTCCAGACGCCTTGCTCTTGCTTTTTCATCCACAGGAGACTTTCGCGCTGGAACGGAAGCATTGTCAACTTCAGGTTTAAAGGCTGCTGCGCTTCCTCTGGCACAGGGACCGGTATCTTGGAAGCAAGATCACCCCACACGTTTTTGAGCTCTGGATGGTGCTTGTGCAGGGCAATGGTCGATTTCTCAGCCTATTGCAATCAGACCGGTCAGGGAGAGCGGAGAGAAAGGTGCGAACATGCGTGAGACGCCGCCCAAGCTCCTTCCTCAGCGCGCGTTCTTCCGCGAGATTCTCTCGCTTGCTGATCCGTCTAGCAGCCCGCATCTCTTTTAACGTCATCCGCTTTGGTGAGGAGCGAGCGGTTGCTTTCTTCTTCCCTTTCCTTTCTTTTTCGCTGCTGGTATATCGGCATCCGACTCTGGAGCACTGGACAGATCACTTTCGTCAACATCCATGGCAGAATCATCGACGACGTCGCTGACGCCCTGCTGAGATCGAGTCAGCCGTGCTTCGGCTGCTGCTGCTCGCAAAATAGCCGCAGGATTTGCGGATATCAACCTGGATGACGAAGAGCTGGCGGTATTGTTGGCTTGTAGCGAGATCCGGATGGCAGCGTCAAGCATTATCTCATCGTCCTCGTCAGGATTCTCGTCAGCATCACCCTCAGACTGAAGAGCATTCCCAACGCTCTCAATGTCCGACACAATGAATTCTGAGCCACTGTCCTCAGATTCTTCAATCTCGGCCGCTTCGTCGTACTCGAGGGCCACCTCGCTTATATTATCGTCGATAGGAGAAGGCGAACGAGCTGCTCTGGCTTTTCCCTTGCCCTTCGCGGGAGCCTTCAGAATGATTATAAGGATTCAAGGCCTGTTAGAAAGAATTCGATGTCTCACTTTACGTTCTTGTGAAGTGGGCCCGACTGAAGCATTCGTAGGCCGTACGATCTCTACAAAAACCTGCTGCGAGTTGGTTCTCCCCTTGGCTGTCGGCCTTGTGGGTTTAGCAGCTCGCTCCTTTCCTTTCACTGCCAGGAGAGGGAGTTCAACATCTGACTCGTCACCTGAAGTCGGAGGGGTGTCAATAGGCTCAGCCACAGTCGAGCAAGCCGAGGATGGATTGGTGGTGGAGATTGTTGTTGCTGGTGAGTTGAGGCTGCTCGCAGCGAGTCGCGTAGAGCGACGGGTAGCACGAGGAGAATCCATCTTGCTGTAGGAGCAGAGTGTGGGGGCAACAAAAGAGTTTTAAATTACCGTGATATGTGACGCGTTCACACGTGACGTGATCTTTCGAGTCGCGTCACAAATCCAGAATGATTATGATTTTGATCTGCAGTATGTACTCGGCTAGATGAACAAGTACGTATATATATACATACAAGTTTCGAGCGCACTGGAGAGTTATTGAATAGGCTCTAGGTTGTTGGACAAATGCAGGAGAGTTGTCAGCTATATGAGACTGTTTTCGCCGGGAATGGTCATGTCGATTTCGTTCATGCTTCTGTCCCTACCGAATGCCTCGAACAAGTAGATGACACCGAAAACGAGGAACAGAACAGCGCCGCCAAGAGTGACTATACAAGGTTGAGCGAAAGGACCTTGGGAATTGAGACCACGCACCATGCTTGACAGATATCTTCGTAGAAACATAACGGCCACCAACGACCGCCAGAGCCGTACACAAGGAATGGCCTATCACAGTACCAGCAGTAACGATGTATACATTCTGTGGAGAACTGAGCGTGACTGATCAGGACGACTAGGTTGTACTAACATGGGCTGCTCCGAGTGCAATCGTGGCTATTTGACTGCGATCCCCCCACTCACCGAGGAAAGTGAGAATGAATGCTTGCACAAAGACAGGGCCTAAGAAGAAGCTGAAAAAGTTCCGAATGCCTTCAGCAGTCGAGTGAGGTCGGCTCTCTGATATCGTGCTTCTCGGTTGAGCCGTTCCACCTTCGAGGTCCTCCAGAGGTATAGCAGGTTGTCCGTCGTCATCGTCGATCTCCTCCTCCGCTTCCTTCATCTCCTCGCGTATTTTGTCATTACCAGCCGCCATAGCCCGCCCCTCCATCAGCATCTTGCCACCGAAAACAAAGAATAACACGGCGGCGGCAGCTTGTGTCCATTTCTTTGGAATGAGGGTCGGAAGAATGTGTCCCATCTCCGCTGATAGCATGGACATGACAACAAGAGAGCCAAAGGCTCCAGCAAAGACGACTATCCTCGGATGGCGCATGGCGAGAATGGCTGCAATGAGGAAAGTCTTGTCACCAATTTCTGATGCAAGAATCATGAAGAACGAGTTGAGAAAAGCTTTAGGGTCGCTTTCCTCAACATCTTTGGGCGCCGTTGACATGTCGTGTCTGAAGCTGTAGAATGTCCAAAGATTCGGCCGGCGATACAAGGGGAGGTACTGGAATGTACTTAGGACGAAGAAGAGAACGTTGGTGTCGGCTTTGGCCTGTCAATGTCATGCTGTGCGGGGACAAGAATAGGCAAACACGTGGGTCCACGGCCACGTGATATGTGTTGAACTGCTCCCTTTCCCACCGTGACGACATTCCACGGACCTCTAACCCTGTGCCTGCGCGACGATAATGTGGAACAAGATCCTGAAGTCGAAGCAGGGCCAGGTGGATCCGCCAGAAGACTACGCTTTCCCCACGGAGGCCGTGGCTGGCCCATCTTCTCCGTTGAAAAGCACTGTCGGGCGCAAAGGCGGCCTGAAGCTACACAGAGAGGACGGTTCTCTGAAACTAGCGTCCCCTCTCAAGCTTCAGAGTATTCCGAAGAAAGTAAGGTCCACATTCAATCTGCCCGGCAGTGGTGAGTCCTGCTCAGCATCCCCGCTCTATGTCAGTAACATGTTCTCCAGGCTCTCAGCTCAACGTCACCGAGAAGTCCCCGAAAGACCTCCTTCGACGTGCCTCGCAGGAAGTTCTTCCCAAGCCGAAATCGAAAGCTCTGCGCCGAGCCTCCTTCAACCTTTTGACGCGTAGACCGTCCCTAGACGCGCTCAGGTCACACACCCCAGAGCCTCGGCCCACCTCTCCACTTGGAACTATCTCGCGTCGGAAAGAGTCCTCGTCATCCTCGAACTCTGCCTCAGGGACAGAGGACTCTGTTCGTTCCATCCTGCGCGAGCCCAACACGCCGGGCACCGGCAAAAGTGTGCGCTTCTTTTCAAGTAACGAGCGCGACACTCCTTTGCTGGCTCGGGTACAGGACCTCAGGCCCACGATATCGCAATCTACACCGCCAGAAGACGTGTTTCTAGGGAGTTTGAGACAATCGAATGCTCCGACGGTTGGGACATTTACGGCCATGCCAAGATTGCCGTCGTCCCGTAACCGACCGACGATTGCTCAAATCTTCGCCCCGATGGAGAAGGTTCGCGACTCCCCCGCTTCATCCCCTGCACATATTACGACTTTTATCGACAACCACGACATTCATGCTTTTTCTTCGTCCACCTCTGGACGGCAACCCCATTCAGACGCTGTATTCACGTCGACTCCTCATAAGGACTCGGCGCCTGCATCACCTGTTTTGACGACAGATCTCGCCGACGAACACGTCCGCTCGCACGACCGTAGTGCCTCATTCAGCTTCGGGCAACAGGTCTTCTATCCAGAACCATCCCAGTCGAAGCGCTCATCGAGTGGGAAATCTTCGCTGATGTCCAAAACTTCGGATGTTTCGGGAACAAGTTCTTCACTGCGAAGTCGCTCTCTTAGCGATAGTGCGTTTTCGTCTCTGCTGCACACACCGCCCCAGTCTCCTGGATCGAAGGGACAGGAGCCTGATCCTTTCAGTGTGCACGCGAAAACATACTACACGCCTCAGACAATGATACCAACGACACCGCCCAACGGCGGCAAGCGCCACGTGCGAACGGCATCGAAGGAAGAAAGCATGATCTTCTCGCTGCAGGCGCAACTAGATATGCAAACCGAACTTTGTGGACAGTACGAGTCGGATCTGCGCGCTCGGGACGAGAGTTTGGCTGTGCTACAAAAGCAGCTAGCGGAAACAGAAACCGAGGACGCGAAGAAACGCAAATTCCTCCGTGCCTGGAAAAAGAAGGCCATGGAGCTCGAGCGCACTTGCCAGATGTTAGAAGACGAAGTGGATCATTCTCGTCAAGAGAGCATGGAACGGAGCGTGATGGACGAGGCAAGTGGTGAAGCTTTACGCGCGTTGCATCGTCAGATATCTGGCCTGGAGCGGGACCGCGACTCTTGGAAACGCACCGAGACTGTGCTTCGAGACGAGATCCGGCGGCTTGAGAAACTCGCCGGTGAAAAACGGACGGAAGCTGCTATGCTTCGGGCCTCTTTGGGCAGTCTGAGCGAGAAAGAAGAGTTGCAGAGGCAGCACGCCAATCTCAAAGGAATGGTGGACTCCCTGGAGAAGCAGCTGGCCGAGGAGAAGGAGCTACATGATGTCGAAAAGCTTGCCATGAAGGATGCTCAAGTTGAACTGCTCGCTGCTTTCAAAGTCCAACTCCTTGCTGGCCAAGAGCGCGAGGAGAAGGCAGCACGAAATTTGGAATCAGTCGAGGCTCAAAAATGTGCTCTGGCCATGGAACGCGATTCCCTGCGACTTCAAGTGTCGAAAATCCAGGACAAAAGCACCTCATCTGACTTGGAGTTGAGAAAGGCTGAACGCAAAGTCACCGAGCTTCAACACGAACTGAGTACCGTTTCTGTCGGTAAGGATACTCTCGAGAAGGTGTGTAATGTTGTTCTTTATGTCAATCTAGACCGACGGCTTAGCTGAATCTCAGCTGAATTCTCGTCTCCGAGAAGAGGAATCGCGTTCGAGGTCACTCGAGCAGCGAGCACAGGATTTGCAGCACGAGCGTCAATACGCATTAGACTCTGTCTCGCGTTGGAGGCAACCATTCGGATTCGTGATGCTGAAGCGGCCAAGGACTCGGAAGACAGGCGGAGAGCAGCCATGGACATCGAGCAGCTCCAGGCGCAGATTCATCAGATGGAGCAGTCATCGGAAGCAGAAAACACTCGCCTCCAACTCAAGTTCAAAGAGCTGGAAGATCGGAACCGAGAACTCGAGCAACAGGCCATCGACAAAGATGTTCTCGTCGCCCAGATGAGCGAGCAACATACGCAAGATTTGGCGGGCTTGAATGCGACTCTGGACTCGAAACAGCAAGAGCTCGATCTGGTGTGTCTTGCTTATCGATCTCGAGACTTTGTGAAGTGTAACCGCTTTTCAGCACAAACGGCGGCCCAGTCTTCACAGACCAAGCGGCAGTATTGCTGGGAGCGGAGTCAAACCCATGGTGCGTCGAGATTCGTCGGTGCAGTCTACCCGGATCTCCCGCCCGTCGTCTATCGCCTCCGAGTCCGGACTGGATCACAGTCGTGAACGCAAGCCATCCGGCGAAAACACCTCCAAAATCCAACCGAAGCCGGTGCCGACGCGTCTTGCTTCGACGTCCAAGCCTCCTCCAGTGCGTGGCATCACGGGACCTCCCTTGCGCCCTCGGCCTTCCGTCGTGGGATCAACCGTCAGTCCGACATCGAGAAAGGTCTCCAAACCGGCAACAAGCGCCACAGAGCTCGGGGAGAAAGAAAATAGCCTGATACCCTCTTCCCGGAGACTGTCCCGGATACCCACTCTCGCTCACTAAGTATTTAATCACTTTTATGTACTCACCTTATTCATCTGTATTGTATCTGACACACACACTCCTTACTTACTGTGATGACTCTAATGACCATGCCACGAACTGGACGACTCTATTTATCATTTTGTCCATCCTTCGATACCCGTAGCATACACGTGACGCATGTATGTAGTACGGACTCTGGCCGTTCTCCGTTGGGACCGCGTCGGTAATCTATCTATCTACCTACCTTCCCTTGTCGGGGCAGCGTTTCAAGTAACGGACATCAGTCTGCAGATGCACTCCGAGGTGGTAGGCGGCTGTTGTTGATGGTGGCTGTGTAATATACTTGTCGAGAACTCTAACACCGCTATTATGGCGCTCGATGAATGTGCGCTCCAAGCCGAAAGCTTAGCTCCTTTCCATGACTTCCCGCTCTATGAAATTGCACCTGTCCGAGCGAGTGCGAGTCGGCGATGAGAGTCTCGAAGGTCATGTCGAGTTGAACGTAGCTGGGGCAGCTGCAGATGGTATCGAAAACGTCCGCGTCAAGCTGAGAGGTTCTATCTGTAGGTGATCGGTGGTCCCAGTTACATGCTTCCTCGGCTGATCGCTCTGGGCTAGACGTCGAAATCACCGTTACGAAACATCGTCAGTCAGGAAACACTTCCTTCACAAACCGCGACACGCAACGCCGACGAGTGGAACTGCTGCGGTCGGATGCCACACTATGGACTCGTAACGACAGGCGGCAACCTACGAGTGATGTGCTTCATCTGCCCTTCCGGTTCCAACTCCCCCCGAATCTGCCGCCTTCATTCCATTGCGATGGTTCTTCGCAGAAAGGGATTATCTCGTACAGCATCGAAGTCGTCGCAGACCGCCCAGGACTGTTCAAATCCAACCGTCGTATCGGCGCTATATTCCCCGTCATCCCGGCCGCTACGCCTGATGCTGTCAATCTCCGTAGACTATTGATATCAGGATGGGCTGGAGATTGGAAGGGCGTGGAACATCGGGCTGAGATACGCCGCGGGATATGGGGGTCCTATTCTCAAGTCAAGACGACGGTGCGTATGACCTCTCAACGATATTGATGTCGACTCATCTCGCGCGCCCAGCTGGTTCTCCCTGTTCTGCCTGCACTGCCCATGTCGACGGAGATTCCTTTCCGGATTGTGATCACCACCGACACCAAGCCCATGCAGCACTCTCAAGGCCCGACGCACTCAGGGAAACCGGTGTTTCCGGAACCACCGAGCAACTTCTCGGAGCTCGAGTTCACGTTGATCCGCTATGTGCGAATGATCACTGCGACGAGGAGCGACCGCTGCACGGAGACTGTCCTCCTTCTGGGACAGACGGGAGCAACGGCGGGGAGCCGGCAACATGAGATGGAGCGAGATCCGCCTGAGTGGATCCCGTCCGAGCAGGACCAGGGAAAGGGCATCTGGCGTCGCACGGCGCGCATGCACGGGGTGGCCTTCCTCCCTGTCCCTCCGACGTTCAGCTCTGATATCCTCTCTTGGGATGTGAGTGCCTAATTCGCTGATCGGTGAAGGCGTCATCCAATCTCATCTCCGTGACAGTATGCTTTCCGGTTGCTTGTCCCTTTCCCTGGCATCGGAAACGACATGCAATCCGACTCGCCGGTGTGCATCGTGTCTTCTTTTGATCGGACTCCTACAGCAAACTATGCGGATATTCCTCCGCCCGGGCCTCCGCCAGTTTTGGATTTACCTCCGTATGTGGCCGATTGCTTTCCTCCACTGAATTCGCTCACAAGTTCCCTCATACATAGTGCCTATTGGCAGGGAGAGTTCCATGACTGGGACTCGAGGGGAAAAGAACATTGACCTATGTAAATCAAGTAAATAAGCTGCTGTGTATCGTTGATTCGATCGAGTTCGACTGTGAAACCCTCTCTCACTCGGACGGTCCGGGGTGGAACCTGCCCGAGCATCCCTATCCTCGGTAAATGACCAGTGTGACCCCTTATATGGCATGTGAATAGTTCTTCGAAGATAGCGACTTTCTGCTCTTGCCACCCCACTTGTACGGCCACGGCCAGACCACAGGAGCCGTGTGATGTGGCCCTTTTCTTCGTCCTTCCGCCGAATTGTGGACCCCAAGCTGCAGCAGCGGGACGCCCTCATCGCAAATGTGACACTGGCTGCCGTTGACTCGAAGGACTCGGATGCGATCCTCAACGCCACCGCGACCGAAATCGTGGCGGGCATTTCTAGAGGAGAATGGACGGCGTCGCGCGTGGTCGACGTGTTCATTGCACAGGCTGTGGCTGCTCACAAGACCACCCATTGCTTGACCGAAAGTGAGCGACCATGTCTACTCGGTGCAAGACTGCATCCCGGCGCTGAGCGAGAATCAAGTCCTATTTCAACAGGCGCAGCAGCAGGCGCGGGAGCTGGATGCCGAGTTTGCAGCTACGAAGCAGCTTCGAGGGCCGTTGCACGGTGTTCCCATCAGCATCAAAGACTTATGTATGTGTGCCATCGCTTTCTGTGTGTGTCCCCGCATACGCGCGGATGCTAAACCGCTCGCAGTTGATATCGCCGGCTTCGACTCCTCTATTGGATTTAGCGCGCGCCTGAACCAACCGGCCGAGACCGATGCGGATGTGTGTGCTTCTCCGCTGAGCTTCGAGTTTATTAAGCTACTGACCCTACTGTGCAAGATTGTGGCGCTACTCAAGTCCGCTGGGGGGATCCCGTTCGTCAAGACCAATGTTCCGCAGACGATGTTCTCGTTCGAGTGCACCAACCCTGTCTTTGGCCGGACTACCAATCCTTATAACGCGAGCCATACACCTGGTGGCAGGTGAGTGCGGCGCCCAGTGAGATCATGCTTGCGGGTTCATGGATAGTGATGTGTGTTAATTAGCTCGGGTGGAGAGGCTGCGTTGATTGCCATGGACGGGTCGCCGCTGGGTGTGGGCAGCGACATCGGAGGCAGTCTTCGCATTCCGGCCTCCTATTGCGGTACGTACGCACGAGCGTTTGCGACACGCCCACTGACGAACCGTGACTAGGCATCTACTCCTTCAAGCCTGGTCTCCAGCGGGTCTCCTATATTGGAGCTTGTGCGCGTTTGGACTTGAGTTGTGACGTTCTCACGTGCTGACGAGCGGCAGCGGGGCTCCCTGGTGCCGAAGGGATCACTCCGGTCCCTGGCCCAATGGCACGGTGTGTGGAATGGCCCCGCTGGATGATCTTTGGTGACGCATCGTAGCTCTGTGGCGGACCTAGATTTGTTCTGCCGCCTGGCGTTCGGGGCGGCTCAGCGCAGTCTCACGGTAGCGCCTATTCCATACAGAGAGCAGACGCTGCCGGAGAAGCTGCGGTTTGGCTACTACACTGGTGCGCCCATCCTCGCAAATCTTGCACAAGGTGTGAATTTGTGTGCAGACTTTTACTTCAAGTCGTCTCCTGCTGCCAAGAGAGCCGTCCTCGAGACCGTCGCCGCGCTGCGGGCGCAAGGCCACGAATGTATCGAGATTGAGGTCCCGAATGGTCAGCGACGAGCGATTTCGGGTGTCCTTGTCTTTGATCTTTTGCTTGCCAGCGCGTGAACCATTCGAGGTCTTTGTTGGCGCAACCTCGGCGGACGGATACAAGACTCTGCTATCCGGTGTTGGATCGGATCCGCTGGTAAAGTTAGGACTGCAAGCACATGGAGACCTTGGCTCAGCGTCTGCCAGGATTCGACTCTGTTCCTTGTAGCTCATGGAACGAAGATGCCGGGTTTCATCCGACGGATTCTTGCCTGGGTGGTCGAGCATTTTCTGGGAGCGAGTAGCTCCTTTCTGCATTTGACCTCCCGTAAACGCTTTGCAGGATCCGAAGTTTGCTGGGATACTGCGCAGCACAGGATCCAAGCCCGTATTTGATCTGTACAAATGGATTGCTCGTCGGAACCAGTACAACAGCACGTTCTACAAGGAGGTAAGCGCGCAGTCTGACGCATCACCACCCCATTGAAGCTAATCGCATCGCAGGTGTGGGACAAATTTGCTCTCGACGCTCTGATAGCACCGGTCCAAGCGATGCCCGCAATTCCCCATGAGTACTTACTTGGTCACCGTGCATGCTTTGGAGACCACATCTGATTCATTCTCAGCACATTCTCGACCCTCTTCGCGCTGGCGTCCAGCACTGTGCTCTACAACGTGGTCAATTCGCCCGTCGGAACCATCCCCGTTACACGGGTCGATCCGGCGCAGGACAAGCTGACCGATCTGTGGACGAAGATGCCCGGCATCTCCATGGTGGAGCGCCTGCTTTACGCCGGGCGCAAGCCCATCTACGACCCGGTGTCGATGGTGGGTCTGCCCGTGGGCATCCAGCTCGTCGGGAGAATCTGGGAGGACGAGAAGGTCCTGGCTATGATGAAGGTCGTCGACTCGGCCCTGGGCAGTGAGCGCGGATTCGGACCACGCGCTTGGTCGAGATGCGGTAGATGAAACGTGATTTGATAAGATGCGATAAGATACGATAATCAACAGGACGAGACGTAGTTGATGGTGATTTCGCAGCCATCTGCAAATCGTTTCGAGCCACATTTCTGGCAGCTGTTTCCGTGCAGCGCGGCGACAGCTGTGTGCGTCAGTGAGCACGTGAATTGGCCACAGGCTCATTGTGTATCTACCTACCTTGAAGCATGGTGTCCCCATAATATCTGCAGTCCGTTCCTTGTACGAAAATGCCGCAGTGGCCAGAGCAGACTCCGGTCAGAGCGGCGGTTCTGCGAGCTTTTCAAGTAGACCGGAAAACTTCCTTCAAAGATCACGTACCCATCTGTGCGGTAGATTGTCGAGTTGTTGATTTTGGCTTGAGCGGCAGAGCAGTCTGAGGCAGAGAGAATCGAGCACAGGGATGATCCTTTGCAGTTCAAATCAGAACCAATCACGCTCTATGAAAAACATTAGACGGTCTGTGGCTCGAACAGAAGGGGGGATGCGCCACCGCTTCAATCGTCATCACAGCCACCCGGCCATCGATTGAGATATCTGTGATCCAGATAAGATTAGATGGGTTACTGAACTGAACTGGTCTTCGTTCGTGTGCGTACTGTGGTTGATCCCGGCAGCACCGACGGGAAGCAGGCCTGTCACGTATTCCGCGGTCGTCTGAAAAACACTCAGTCGGATTTGAGCGCGCGCGATGAGGTACTGACGGTGTACTGGACCCCGTCGAACGAGACCACACCGGCTGTAGCTGCAGAAACGACTTCGTCCCTGGGCAAATGCCTGAGCCGATTGGTTTATACCGCAAAGAGAAGCTCGTACCGGCCAATGTCGTACCCGTCAGGGATGATATTGTGGCCTTGTGCAATTGGTTCTTCTTTCGATGCTCTTAGTAGGTCGGAGAGTCAGCAGCCGGCGCCCCTGATATTCCAGAACCACTGACGCCAAGAACAGGGCCCCGGTGTCAGCCCCCGTGCCGTTTTGAATGAACGCGCTGTGGGACATGTAAGCGATCCGGCGGCCAGTCTTGGACAGAAGTGTGTCACCGATAGTGGTTCCCGCCAACCAGCGTCTCTGCGAAAGATGAGCATCGCGAAGGGATTTGGGAAAACCGATACTTGCCGAGGCATGTTCCCAGTGCAAGCCCGAAATCCTCGCGCTGTGCAACGGTTACATGGACGGAGACGTGATGCTATGGATCAGTTGTTACCATAATCTGTGTCTGATTGACCCAGTTGTTTCCATCGCCCAGATTGGCTGCTTGCGGCCCCCCGAGATGAATATGCAGGCAGTCGTCCCCACTTGCGAGATTAGGTCAGCAAGGCGACGGAGATGGAGACGATGAGTTTCGACGAACTAGCCCAGCGCGTTTCCGAAGTTGAGGATTCCGCGAGGACTAAGCGCGTCCGGGCTGCTGGCGGCGGAGACAATGATCTAAGAATGCGCATCCTAATCAATACATTTCCTGGAGACGTCGCTTCGTTCGACGGACATTCAGAGGTTCGTTTTGGAGGGTCAACATTGAACCGCCGTTCAAGCGAGGATCCACGAAGGGAACCGTCTGACCCAGGGCCAGAGTCGCAAAGCTTGTGACGAGGAGGACAGCGTTGAGCATGGCTCGAATGAGCAACCAAATTGTTGGCAAGCACTCTATATACCCGCGCACTTCATCGCGGGTGCTGATTTAACGAAACGAGGACGTACACCTCGCCGGTGAAACGAACAGTTTGCAATGTGCAGCTCACATGGGTGTCTCATACAAACTTGGAATCCAATTAAACATCGTATTAGTTTGACGATCTCTGATGGTCTGAACGTCAAATCTTTGATGGTCTATTCCGTCGTCAATAGGCCGGGAATGTCGAGTCTATGTGCTGTGTCCATGCTCGTAGTCCGCCTACGACGTCTTTCACTATTGCACCAGGCTTGACGTGTTTCCTGATGCTGCTTGCAGCAAGCTGAGAGTCATTCCCCAGTCGACAGACAAAGTAGATGCTGTCCTCAGCGGCCAACGACTCTGGGGGGCTAGCGAGCAGCTCCGTCAACGGGATGTCTGGACACAAATGAGTCGTTGCTTGTAGATGAGTTGTCAGCACCTACTTTTAGACCCAGGCAGAGAACATATCCCAAACTCTGTCGGCGATCTCACGTCGACGACCGTTATATCACCGCCTGAAGACAGAAGTTGGGCAAAGTCCTGAGGAACAGTTGTCTTGGAGGCCTCGCCGATCAACAGATCATCAATCACACCTGCACAGTAACGCGGTCCTCGGGATCGCCTGGAACAAGACCCCGCCGCTCCCAATCCGGCGCCGGCCCACCACAGAATTGGACATAATCAGTCTCACGAATTTGTCCGATCTTCTCCTCAGCCGTGCCGCACGCTGGACAGCTCGGCTTGCGAGACCGCATCTTGATGCTTCGGAATTGGGGTGATCCGAGCGCAGAAAAAAGGACCATGGATGGCTTCATATCTGGCTTCAGGCTCGTATAGACCATACAGGGGAAGGAAACCGGCGCACCGTGCATGCCAGTTAACAACTTGATAGTTTCGAGAGCTTGCAGATTGCCAATCACCCCGGTCACGACTCCGAGAATGCCCATCTCTTCGCAACTTCCGACAAGCCCCGGAGCTGGAGGTCGAGGGAAGATGCATCGATAGCAAGGGCCATCTGCACCGAGGTTATAAATAGACAATTGGCCCTCGTACTTTTGAGCCGCTCCACTAACGAGTGGCTTCTTGAGCGCGACTGCGACGTCTGATAAGAGATAGCGTGTGGCTGCATTGTCTGTACAGTCCAGAATCACATCGTGCGGTCGAAGGATGTCTGCCGCGTTGTCGGGTAGGAGGCCAACGCACACTGCTTCGGCCACAACGTTCGGATTGATCCTTGATTCGTGGTCATTATAGAGGCGAGAGAAGTTTTCAGTACTCGGAGAGACCTTGCGATGGCTCGAGCGGCTGACTCTGACTTGTGGATGCCAACGGTGGAATCATCGTGGAGGATCTGCCGTTGGAGATTGGACACTTCTACTACGTCGTGGTCGATCACACATATGCGGCCTAGAGCAGTGGTCAATTATAGCGCATTTTTCTGGTCAGATCCGACAAACCCACACCAGCTGCGGCCAGATACTGGATGGCAGGGCACCCCAAGCCTCCAGCTCCGACCACGGCCACAGACGCGTTTTTTAGTTTGAGTTGGCCGGGAAGACCAAATCCATCGAGTATCATTTGACGACCATAGCGCGGGTATTCCTCTGAAGTGAGTTGGGCATTCATGTGGCGATGTGAAAACTGCAAGTTATAGACAATCGGTGCAGAAGAGATCGGTTGACAGTTCTTGCGGTGAAGTTTGATGATCCGCATGCGCATTTCATAGATCATCGCGGTCACGCGCCTCGCCACTCTGTCTGCCGCTCTAAACCTCAAACCTTCGTCATCGAACCACCACCACCCCGCACCAGAATGGCGACGGTAGAAGGCCGTGCAGAAGTAATGCCTTCCGGTCTGTCAACGATCTCTGCTGAAACGCGTCGAATCAGCCTCTGTCAGCGAACAAGACACCGCCAAACCTGCCCTGGCCTGACATCTCTTCGCGCGCCAAGTGGTCTGTGTCGTCCTACAAATTTGGATTCGGGGCCGAATGTCTCTGTGACGGAGACCCGGAAACGTTTTGGCAGTGCGTGGTGGCTCGATCTCTTTGCTGATTCGCTGTGAGCACATGCCTCTCAGCTCGGACGGACCACAGCCGCATTTTGTGACCATCGAGTTTCCCCGAAAAGTTGCCATCCAGGTGCGCAGGAGACTGAATTGCACGCTCTTGGTCTTTCTGATTCATTGTTTCCAGAAGCTTTGTATATATCTAAGCCACCCACAAGACGACTCGTACACGCCTTCCGCCCTTGCAATAAGAGCAGGCACAGGCTACAGCGACCTCCAGGATGTCAGGATGATCACATTCGAGCGACCGGACGGGTGGATCACATTCGACGTTTCTTCAGAGCCTAACGAGGACGGGGATGGGCTGTGCGGGACTCTCAGACAGTGTCAGGGTCATGGACTGATGCTTCATCTAGGAAGCCGGTCTATGCGTATTTGTTGCAGATAATCGTCGTCGCCAATCACATGGGTGGAAAAGACACGCATGTTCGCGGCCTGCGAGTCCTTGGCCCTGTCGAGTACGTCCGTCTCGCTTGACGGGCGTCCTACTGATCCTCTGAAAGTGACGGGGGCACTGACGAGGATCCATTCCCCTTCAAGCATCCACAATTCAAAATGTTTGAAACGATTCGGTGATTTTATCATTTTTGTTTTGGTGATAGTGAATTGTATTGCATTTACCAGTCAGAGGACGCCTCGTTGAGTTGTCCCGGGGAAAGCCGCCGCCGCTCGATTATCAAGATGGAGAGCAGAATATCGTCAAACAATGCCTGCAACTGCTTGAGATGCTGTTTGTTACAAGAAACGGGAAGACGTACTTGACCGACCGGGTATATCCGTAGTTTAGAGAGAGGTGTGGGTTCGGTTCCCTGTGGCTTCAGGGAAGCACCTTTGAATTGAGCTATCTTCGCATGGTAGGGTGACGGGAATTTCTCCGAGGCCATATAACACTGTCAGTTGTTCAGACCACCGACCTTGCGTCGGATTGGACAGGAGAACGGACATTGAATAATCCTGTAACTTCGTCGACCAGTTCCCACCGAAGATGTTGCGAACGGTCTGGTCGGAACTTCCAAACCCATCTGTTCATCCGACTTTTGCCATAGATAGCATCTTTGATCTTCTTTTGCACTGCACCCACACAGACCGTGCTGGGGATCGCCGATTTCCCCATTCTGAGAACGATAAGACGCGGTGTCAGTGTTGAATGACCAACATACTCGAACTCGGCTGCAACGTGGAGGCCGGCGCTCTTGTGAATCGTAGTAATAAAGGAGGATGGATTCAAGCAATTGAGGGAGACAGAGATCGTGTACACGGGACGCGAGTCAGGGAAACCTGGCGGCGGTAGAACCAGCATCGTGTTGTACCCTTGCGGTGAAAGTGTGTAGTTGACTGGGTCAACTGGTATCCTCGCCTCTTCATAGCTACCACATTGTCAACACCAGCGGTCAAACGAGGCAAGGACCGGAGAACTTTGGCGGTGATTCTGTCGGAGCAGCCTCTATCCCACCCTGCAGTCTCAACCAGTCGCTGTGGTCCCTATCGGACGATAGAACTTGCGGTTCGATGTATGGATCCAGTGTGAAGTTCTAAGGAGGTGCAAGGGTTGGAGTCTGAGAGCAAGTCGTGGTTAAGGCAGCTTTTACATCATGACTGATGGAACTTGGGAACCCGAGAACTAGAAGGAAGGACTTGGCGAAGCCTCACTGGTTGCGGGCGGGTATATGGTGGGGGACATCACTTCGTGACAAGTGATTCCATCAATCCTTGCCGTGCATATAGTGACCCTCAGTCAACATGAATTTTCTTCAAACCTTGTAAATAGATAGCTATTGAGATGTACTTTCAATCCCATGGATTAGATTTTCAAAATTATGACCTGGCAAAATTTGGCCTCAGATTTGGCCGTCCCAAAAAGGAAATTGCGTGATCGCTGTGCTCGGCAGTGACCAAGGCCCTTCTGGGATCTTCCGAAACTCATTCCACTACCATGGCACCCCAAAAGAGAGGCACTGACCGTGCCCAAGATACTGCCGGACACTTCACACATTAACACACCGCCCTCCAATTACCTATAAAAGGTCGAGTCTTGGGCGCGAATTTGGCCATATAGCCGAGAATTTTTTCCCACGATCTAAAACTTCGGATTCGGCCCACTCTTGGGTATTTCATGAAGATCTGGCTAGGTTTCGACCCGAAATTCCCAAAATTGCGATGTGACATCAAGTCATGTCCCCCACCATAGAATCCAGGCGTACTGCACCGTATCACGATCGCGACTTTAGTCACCAGGCCCCTTGAGATGAATGAAAAGAACTCCCGTCACCGATCACCGGTAGTCACATGATTTTAGCCCCCAAAATGCTCCCCAAAAGGGGATTCTGCTGTCTAATGTAGGTCGGCAACGCGGCAACTTGGCCGAAAGAATGCCTCCGGCCAACAGCCAGCTGAGAATCTGTCCACGTCAATTATAGTACTTGTCGGTCACCACCGGTACCGGTGAAGTTGTGGAAAGGACATTAAGGTGCAGACAAAATATTGGAATGGTCTATCTTTGCAGCTTCTGTACATGTGTTTTTTGGAAATGGAGTGTCCAGATGGGGCCGCATTATGTCAGCACCATTGATCGGACATCCTGTGGACATGTTTGGGCCTCAAAGTGCCAATGTGCTTCGTGACAACCTGTGACACCGGCCAGGCCGAGAGTTGTGTGGTCGGTGGGGTGGTCAGTGGCTTCTGAAGATTGGCCAGATAGATCCCGCCTGTGCGTACGCATCTAGCATCGGAGCGCCTAGTTGTGCCAAGGGACGCCTGTGGGATCTTGTGCGGACATTTGGTATATGTCCGCCTCAGAATCGGTCATGCAACTTTCAAGGCTGATGTGAGGCAACCCATCGAGCGCATCAGGATCGGACATTTTTGGATATGTACCAGGGTCCTTCCGAAATCTTTCTCTTTCTCGCCAGGGTCCTGCGCAAGTTAAGCTAGTGCACCGTGACGTTGTGCACATCACTTCACTGCTTATGTATGTTTATGGCGACCAAACCAAAGCAAATATTGGACTCCCTTGGAGAGCCCTTACAATCATCGCTCGCCTCGCTGCCTGAGGTTGTGCAGCGATGATACCCATGTCCTCTTCCTCTTCCCATAATGCTGGTCGTCGTCGGCCCGCTTCGAGCAATCGCGCTCAGCGCCGGCCTCTCGCTCGAACGAATTCAAGCTTGTTTGGGACGATTAAAAATATCGTAACGGCACCGTTGAACTGGTTTGCCACCACCGAGGACTTTGACGACTCCCCGGACCTCAAGGGGAAGAGAAGGCGAAATCCGGTACCCGCTGGGAATGGCCCCACCCTCCGCGATCCAAATGACGCCGCCGAGCCTCGCTCCAAGCGGCCGCGCGTCACTAGCCCTGATCGACAAATGCAGTATCGTGCCGAAGCCCCATTGGCGGAAACGTATGCGCCATCGAACCCTGGATACTTGGATCCTCCGGTGTCTGTGTTCAAGAACCCGCCTCCGTTGGCGCGGTCCACCTCCGTCAATCTGTCTGGACCCGCCATAAATCCCTTTATCGCGAGTCTTACCCGCAACCTTTCACGGACCATGTCGATCGATCCACCGCATACAACTGCCAGGCCGCTTTCGCGTGATGCATCAATGCATTTCCCCTCGGACGGAGATGTCTCGATGGAATCCATGTTTCCGCGCAAGACGTCGTCGTCTATGCCCCGCGAGATGTCAATGCCAATCCCGGCCTCACACAGCTCTCTTCGTCGGCCCACGTCTATTACACCTCAGCCATCGCAGCTACCGAGAGAAACGTCGGAACCGCCACCCATGTCTTCGCTCAGTAAGAAGCCGATGTTTGTACGTGGGCCTCTTGAAGCACCATCTCAGCGGATCTCTGTTCAGACCACATTGGGCTCTTTGGCCGACTCTCGACGCAGTGTACGTGATCTGATGAACGGCAGCGGATCTTGAATGACCATCTGACCACATTGACAGACTCGTTCGCCCGCAAGGCAACACAGTGGTTTGCTGTTCGGCTCTGGTCCCAGTGCATCTACGGAGCAGCAGGGCATATCGGCTGAACGGGCGTTACATGAATTGGATAGCTTCAAGACTCCCCTTTTGCAAACTCGCAGTCGGCTGGGTGCTCAGGCAAGCACACATACTGATGACCCTTCGGACCTTTTCCGACGGAAACGGACTCGCCCGCTTGTGCTGATGGGTGATGATCGCGGCTCCAGCTACGGCTTCTTGGACATCGAGCCCAAAGAGAAGGAAAAGAAAAGCAAGGTCAACGACACCAAGCCTTATGCTGGAGAGGGAGGAATGAGAAAACTACTGGCCCGGCGACAGAAAGAAGTTGAGGCTGAGCAGGACGAAGGTGACATGAAACAGCCACCCAGTGTCGACATCAGCAAGACCGTCCCCGATGTGAACGAACCTCTTCCGCCCATCATTGATGACTGGCAACAGCGTGGTGCTGCGCAGACCGGATCCTCTCTACGTGTCGCACGTGCCAAGACGTCGCGGAATCACATCTCGCGCCCTGCTGCTCGTCCAGCCAAGAAGTTTTCCGCCGTGTTCGAAGATGACGATGGAATGGACGAGGAAGATGAGGAAAGACAGAAAGAACGTCTCGAATTGGAAGAGGCCGCCTCGAAACTTCCGGCCTTCAAAATGCCTGCAAACTTTTCCTTTGCGAAGCCGGTGTGTTTCTTTTTAAGATCCAACTTCTGCAACCCGTGCTCAACGTCTGCTTCAGGAAGCAACCCCTGCCCCGGTCCAGGCTGAAGAGGATGTCAAGGAACCACCCATCGCAGCCTTACCGTTTTCATTCAACATTCCGACTCCTGCTGTAGTTGCGGCTCCTGCTGCGGTTGCGACTCCTCTGGAGAAGCCTGCGTCTTCCTCATTCTCTTTCGCTCAGCCGGATCCGAAACCTGCTGTGGTGGAAGCGTCCTCGTCCGATGATGCACCTTCCTCGGTGCCAAACTTTTTCTCATCGAGCAAGCTGCTTTCCCAGGCTCCATCGGTGGTGCCATCAGTTCCATCATTCAGCTCAACGGATGAGCCGAAGCCAGTGAGCCCGTTCTCGTTCTTGGCTCCTTCCAAGAACGTTGAGACCTCCGATGAGAAAAAGACCAGTGAGCCAACGCCGGCATTCTCGCTGTCTAGTGGTGTTCTCCCGTCTGTCGAATCTCCGGCCTCGGCTTTTGGCACTCCACAGGCAAGCGCACCGTCTCTCCTTGCACCAGCTTTTCCGGTCGCCGAAAAGGTCGACACACCTACTATCCCATCATTCTTCAATAAGCCTGCGAGCACACCGTTCTCATTCGCTACAACGCAGCCAGTACCTGTTTCACAGCCTGAACCTTCACCACTTGTTCCGGCTTCGATTCCAGTTCCTGTTGTCGAAAGGATTGTGGAAACAACCGTTCCGGCGATGGTTCAGCCCACTGCTGAGCCTACGCCAGTCGCTGCCCCGCTCACGGTTGAGCCGACTGTACAGGCAGCTGTTGATCCTCCGTCTAATCCGTTTGGTGCTCCTCTGGCGCCACCCTCTAAGAGCCCGTTCAATTTCCTGAGTACGAATCCCCCATCAGGGGCAGCGACACCAGCACCGGCGTCGACAGAGGCTCCTAAACCGTTCACCGGCTTCTCGTTTGGACCTACTCCGACTGCTAGACCAACAGCGCAGGATGCGCCAAAAACGGCGGTTCCATTTAACTTTGGGTCGTCCTCTAGCACTGCGCCTACGGGTGGATTCTCATTCGGGGCGTCGGAGGCTAAGCCCGCAAGCGGGATGTTCAGCTTCAGTAAACCCGATACCGCAGCTCCAACTGCGGGTGGGTCTTCGACGTTTTCATTTGGATCACCTGCAGCTGTTGCGCCGCCCGCCAGACCGTTGACACCACCGCGAAACGATATTCAGGAGTTCAATATGGATGAGAGCCCGACGAGGGAAGTCGAGCCCAAGGCAGCTGGCGGGTTTTCGTTCTCGGGCTCCTTCAGCCAGCCGGCCGCGCCACCTACGACAAATTCGTTCTCTTTCACGTCGTCATCGTCGAATCCATTCCCTTCGAGTACGTCCTTTGGGTCTGCTCCGAATTCTGGGAGTCCATTCTCTTTCGCACGGAACAACAGCACAGCTGCGGATCCACCGCGGCCCTCGACTGCTGGGTCGTTCTCGTTTGGGTCTCCTGCGCCAAGCAGTGGTTTTACGTTCGGAAACAACAGCACCACAAGCATCAACACCAGCACCAGCAGCACTGCGCCGGCCAGCAATCCGTTCATGACCGGTGGGTCTGCTCCGAGCAGCCCTGCGACGTTCGGCCAGCAGCCGTTTTCGTTCGGCGGGGGGAGTTCCGCTCCGCCGCCGGCGTTGGCGACGTCGTTTTCGTTTGGATCGCAGCCGTCTTCGCCTGCGCCGACGTCTGCGACATTGCCGCAGCCGAGCACGCCGGGTGGACCGTTCAGCTTTGGGTCGGCTGCTGCTTCTCCTGCGGGTGGCGGCGGGCTGTTTACGATGGGTGCTGCGCCGACGAGCAGTGGGCCTCCGGGCGGGCGGCTGCTGAAGAAGCTGCCGCGAAGAAAGAACTGAAGTATTTATCTATTTTATCTTGTTTTCTTATTATCATCATCTAGGTAGGTAGGTACTTATCACATCACTGTATCCGTAGGAAGCTCAAGGCACACACCCCACTGGCTCAAGGCCATCCATCACCACCATCATCATCACTTTGCATATATACATATACAAACACTCCCCGTATTCTACTGTTGTAGTCTCCGAATCGTCTTCCTCAGCCCGGCCAAAACCATTTTGCCGTTCGTCGGCATTGCAACTTTGCCGGTCGCGATGCCGAACAGATAGGCAAAGTCGGCCTGGGCCGTGATCGGAATACGCCCTGTCCGCTGGCGCCGCGAAAGCATCTTTTCCTTGAACTGCTCCGCGAACTTGGACGACACCGCGTCCGCTCTCTGCACGACATTCATCGGCACGCCCGCGAGATTCGCGACGTGCGTGCCAAAGGACGACACCGCCACGCCTTCGACCAGCTTGTACAGGAACAGAATCTTCTTCTCCTCGTCGTCCACGACGGTTTCCATGAACACCGGCCGGATGTTCGGGTGGTACGTAAAGTCGTCTGTCAGCGAGCTGTAGTGCGTCGCGAAGATCGACAGCGGCAGTGTGTGGGTGGCCAGCTGGTGAAGCACCGCACCTGCGATGGCCATCCCGTCCTGCACGAATCAGTCTCAAGAAGCCGTGGATGTAGTCGCATGAAGCTCACAAAGGTCGATGTCCCTCGTCCGAGCTCTGTCAGACTGGTCGTGAGAAAAAAAGTGAACACCAAAGCAAGTGCAACCACCCACCGTCCAGAATGACGAGCGACTTGGGCGTAGCGTCCCGCAGGATCTTGCAGCTGCAAGCGTGTTAGTTATCTGCAGTGAGTTGATAACAGCCTCCACGCACCATTCGTCGAGCTCGACTTTGAACGTGCTGGCGTTGGAAAACATGTTGTCATACGCGCCCATCCGAGTCAGAATCGCGTCCACAGGCGACAGTCGAGCACTCTGCGCCGGCACAAGCATCCCCAGTTGGGCCATGATCTGCAGCAGTGGCTCAGATCGGTCGCGGGACGAGCACAACCACAGACTCACGACACCGGTGGCGGTCATCCTCATGACTGTTGATTTACCGCTGTATAAACAGGTCAGCCATGTCACACCACCCACAGAATCGCATCGCTCACGCCATGTTGGGTCCTGGAATCCACTAGTAAGCCACATGACATGCGAAGGCGCGGTTTCAAACACCCACCAGTCAAAAGCGCGATATTCCCCATCTCGCCACCCAGTCTGACGTCGTTCGGGATGAAGGACTCCACCTTGGCATTCATGCACAGCGTCGGATGCCTCAGCTGCCGGAAATCGACCCAGGCAGATTCGCCCTCGACGAATTCAGGGCGGCACCGCGGCTCCCCGATCGCACTCGACGCCTTGGCGAGCGAGAACAGGCAGTCGAGCTCGGCCATGATCCGCACTGCACGCAACCACAGCGACCGGTCAGAGTCAAACTCGGCGAACAACCGCATCCGGAACGCCTTGATGGCCGTGTTTCGGTTTTCCCGGGCCTCTTTGAGCTTGCGCACGGTCGGCTGGATGCTGGGCACGACCCACCGCGTCTTGTTCTTCAGGGACTGCGTCTTCGTCCATTCCTTCGGCACACCCGTCTGCTTCGCGTCCGTTTCAACCAGGTAGATGTCCTTGGTCCCAATCGAGCTGTGGTGCCAGCTCAGTTTCCCTTTCATCTTCTTCTGCATGTTCTTCAGTTCATCGTCGAGTTCGTTCTCCAGTTCCCTGATTTCGGCCATCACTCCGTCGTAAACTTCGTCTTGCCCATCTTGAGGGACCAGTTCACTGGCATCTTCACCCAGCATCAGCACAACGTGGGGATCTGCCAAAAACGGGCCACTTGCCTTTTTCAGATTCAGGCTTTTCGTACATCGCTTGTACCTTCTTGATGTTCTGGATCAAATCGGGTGCGCTGCGTACGAGCCCAAAGATCGTTTTAGACTTGAAGCTCTCTGCAATGTCTCCCAGATGTGCCATTCCATAACTCAGTTTCTTGAAGGCCTAAACATGCCCAGGTCAGTAATCGCATCCGAGGAGAGGACGACACCGACGACTTGCATTGAGCACTTTGAGAAAGTCGCGAATTGTGCAGTTTTTGGCGTGGATGCGCGAGACAATCCGCTCCAGATCGGGAAGGCCCTTTGCGATCTCCATGAAATCCTTTTCAAAATCTATTGTATTGTCCATGATATCTTGCACGGCATCCAGTCGAGCGTTGATGTCCGAAATCTCTTTCAGCGGCACACACAGCCAGATCCGGAACAGACGTTTCCCTGATCAGATACAGTCTAGTCCAATGACCTACGCACGAACAATGCCACTCACCAAAGGGCGTGACTGCCCTGTTCAAAAGCTTGAGCAGCGTGCCTTCCTCAGTGCCCTCGTTGTTCAGGAGAACTTCGATGTGGGCGAGACTCTGCCCGTCGAGGACAAGCCCTTGCCCTCGTTTCAAAGGGTCATACACGTTGAAGTTCTTCATGCTGAGAATGTCCTTGTCGATGTTCAGCTGGCGCAGGTACCTACACTGGGATCAGCATTGGCCAGTCCTTGTGGGATCGACTAACCAAATCATCATTCCAAGCGATTCAATCGCAGTCCGCGATCCGGACATGGCCCGGATGGGCTCGGGCACACTCGCAGGCAGCTCATCACCGTCAGAACTGCCATCATCATCCTCTTCCTGAGGATAAAGCTTCACAAGCTCTACTTTGGTCTGCTCATAGTCGAAGCCCTCGACATCTCGCAGTCCAGTCCAGATGCATAGCGAAGGTACGATAGATTTGAGCAGTCGAGTCGTAGACACAGATAACTTGCCCTGAAACTGGGGTCAGACACAGCTCGCCGACACGTCAACGGGCTGATACCTTGGTAAAGAGCAGCTCCTTCGGTTTCAGCTGCCTGATCAGTGTCTCCATCTTCGTCCGGCATATGTCGTCTTCGAACGTGCTCAGATTGAACTGCGAAGTAGAGCAGTCAAGAACCGAAATGCCAAATGTGCTGCTTGTTTCGACACCCTCCTCGAAGACCTCGCGGATCGAGATCAAGTGCCCAGCTTGGTCGTCAGTAAGCATGCTTGGATCAATGAGAGTGCCGTTAGTATAGACTTGTTTGAGTTCGCTGTAGGAGAAGATAAGCTCGCCAATACTATGCTCTGCGCACTGGATCGCACCGTTGCACGATCTTGTCCTTTGCTTTGCCGTTCTTGGCTTTGTTTGCCTTCACCCTCATTTCAGCACCGAGTGCTGTTTCGGCCTGGTCCACCCTGCCAACTTTGAATCCTGCGCCAGGTTGGTATCGACTCATCTAGTGAGAAATATACATTCAGACCTTTCGCAAGGAATTTCCTGCAGACATGAGATAAGCAGACAATCATGCAACGACTCGGAGACTCACGCAGCCCAGAAGTCAAAGGAGGACTCTGGAACCCCGACCTGGAAAGCATGAGATTGGAACAGTGGCTCAACCTCGCCTTCCGCACCATGGACATCTTAACGCGCGAAGTCAGCTTGAGATCAAACTGCTGATGCCCGATCCGAGCGTCATCTTCATACAGCTGTTCTGGAGTGAGAACCGGCCATCGCAGAAAGAAGCCAGCATACTTCGAGGAATTTTCTAGCGAAAGTGTTGAGTGCCTGCGACAAACCAACAAGATTCTAAACGCACCCTTTTTGGAAAAACAGAATCTTCGTATGCAGTGAGCAGTTATTGAAAGCAGCGCCAGTAAAGACGAACGCACAGTATCGTAATGGTTCTGCTTGATTTCCCAAAACTAAACCGCCAACACCCATCAACTCGACGAACCCCAGGATAACCTTGCATACCTGTTTTTCGAACGGAGAAAAGTCGTCCCAGGCCTTGCGCGGAACATACAATGTTCTAGGGTCATAGTTGGGACTGTCCGGTCGATTGCCGTCTTTCTGCGAGCGTGTAAGATATCGACGAGGAAAGAGCCGGGAGCGCACGTCTTTGACATCTTGCAAAAATGAATACGGGCTCTCCGCTTCCTTCTTCTCATTCTTTCTCTCGAGCTCCTGGCGTTCAGCAGCCGTCAAGAAGGAACCGCCGCCAGTCGTTACGTTTTTGGTGATTGTTTTGGCACGCCCTTTGGGCTTGGCTGCAGGCTTCTTCACAGGCTCAGAGTCGAATGCATCGTCATCTTCATCGTCTGAGGTCGCAGAACGACGGGAAAGAGACGACGTCGATTTGGAAGACTTGATTGACCTCGCGTCCATATCAGAGTCGGACACAACGAAATCGTCGTCGTCTTCAGACGCAGCGGAACGTGATTTGCGTCCTGAAAGTGAGCGATCCAATATGAGTTATTGACATTGCTACGCAATGGAAGACATATACCCTTCTTGACAGGTGATTTCTTGAAACGACTGATGCGGTTAGAGAAGGAGGTCGACGCGCTCTGCGCAACCTCGTCGTCTTCGTCATCAGACAAGAGGGCAGAAAGACGAGGTTTTTTGTTCACTGAAGTGACCGGTTCATCCTTTAACTCTCTGTGCCAACGAAATAATACAACTCACATTGCTTAGCATTTGTCGGTGAAGATCCTGTGGGAGCTGAACGCTCTGTCAACGAACGTTCATCGTCCGATTCCTCGTAGACGATCTTTCGCTTCCTCTAAGGGAGCTGTGAGTTTAGGCTGAGCACGCGACAAGACACTCACGGTCGTCGTTCGGACGCGTTGCTCCTCCTCTGAGGATAGCATGTCTATGTCAATGATGTCGCTGGTTGGAGGCGTTTCCTTTGCGCTGTCGAGTCCTGGGGAAGAGTTTGACACGGGAACAGAGGAGCTTAGCCTAGAAAGGCTGGGACTTTTAGACTGAGGCGTCTTTGGAGGCAGTGGCATTGTGGATGCGTTTGATTCCTTCTTGGGTTGTGGTTTTGCAAACCATGTCATGAGACTCTTTTGCTTAGGTCCTTCAGCAGATTTGCCGTTGACTGGCTTAGAGCCAGAGGCTTTGGGAGGCATAATGAAGAACGCGAATGGAAGCGGGGTTTGGATCGAAGTCAAGTACGCGTTATTTGGTTGTGTTGGGTTTGTTAGCAGACTAATTATAGCGTGTACCAAGTTTTATTTAGTAGTCCACTTGGAAGTGTCAGATACGACCTATGAGGACTTGTAGAAAACAGAGCATCAATTACTATAGAGTCTAGGTGCAGAGAAGATCCCAACCTCAGGCCTTTTGTTCAAAGCCTTGGCTGAACCTCTGCTGTAATGTCATCGTCGTAGTAGGCACACTGGGGTCCCAATCTGGTGGTAACGTCCCGTCGTCCCAGCTTCGCAGCACATTGGCGCCCATTTTGCCCATATGGTACGACGGAAATATACGCAATCTTTCCAACCTCCGTTCCCGAAGCTTGTTTTTGGGTAACATGCCGGAAACGGCATGCCGAATGATCTTCGAGGGACATGAGCTGAATGGAACAGACAGTGAAGAGCGCAACACACCTCGTCAGGATTCTTTTCCATCATGTCCTTGTAAGGAGTCTCCTTCAGCGCGCCCGGATACATTGAGTGCTTGCGATACAACAGTTGTTCACTCTTCCGGCCAGTAACCAGTACTTTCCTCGAATTGGTCACAAGCACATAGTCGCCGCAGTCAACTGTGTTCGGGTCAAAGTTTGAGTTGAAAGAAGATACGGAAACAGTACCTCCAGGATCGTAGATTGGCTTGTGCTTGCCCATCAACACCAGAGCAATACGTTCAGCCAGTTTTCCGAGCACACGGTCACTTGCGTCGACATGATGCCAGACCCGGGCGTAGGCAAGAGTGGTCTAGAAGATTGCATTCAGAGGAAGTCAGACGACCAGCAATTGCAGGAATTTACATTGCCTATGCGTTGCGACATGGCGTGTGGAAAATGACTCGTGTCACAGTCTGTCACCTTGTGACAGACGCGCCGTTCGCGACTTGCATTTCAGTTCACTGCATAGTCGAAATTGCTCCGCACTGCAAAAGCCTTCATTCACTTACGGCCTTGATTGCCCTCAAAACCTTGCTTTGATTCAAATATTTGGCCTTGCTGTCCTGCTCAACTTGCTCGCGTCACTTCGTGGTCTAGGCTAACATGCCTCGCGAGATTGTAACCCTGCAGTTAGGACAATGCGGAAATCAAAGTAAGCGCGAACCAATGAACTGAAATTCCTACGATCTTGACTCTTTTGGAAGTGGGGTCTGTTTTCTGGCAACGGTTATGCGCAGAGCATGGTATCAACAAAGAAGGGATCTTGGAGGAGTGGGCAACAGAAGGAGGGGATCGAAAAGACGTGTTTTTCTATCAAGCAGACGATGAACACTATATTCCACGTGCAATTCTAGTTGATCTCGAGCCTCGCGTGTGTAGATCGCATTTACTTCGCGTTCCACTGCTGCTGATAACGTCCGTGATAGGTGATCAACAATATCCTCACATCTCCCTACGCCAATCTCTACAATCCCGAGAATATCTTCGTTTCCAAAGATGGGGGTGGTGCAGGAAACAATTGGGCTCAAGGGCACGCTTGGGGGGAGCGCATCTATGAGGATGTTATGGAAATGATCGACCGTGAAGCTGAAGGAAGCGATTCGTTAGAGGTGTGTTCATTTCATCTGAACAGCATTGATCATCAGAAACGAGGTTTCAGGGATTCATGGCCATGCACTCCATTGCAGGAGGAACAGGGTCTGGCCTGGGCTCATTCCTTTTGGAACGATTAAACGACAAATTCCCGAAGAAGTTGATCCAGACCTATAGCGTCTTCCCGAATGCACATGAGGGAGATGTTGTTGTACAGCCGTACAATTCGATGTTGACTCTGAAAAGACTTGTCAATCACGCTGACTCTGTGGTCGTCCTCGACAACGGCGCGTTGTCTCGCATATCTGCCGACCGTTTACATGTGCAAACCCCCACCTTCGATCAGACTAACCAGTTGGTTCGGCGTATTCCCAACGTGTCTATCCGTGCCTCAATGCTTTCAGGTTGCGACGGTGATGGCAGCCAGCACTCAAACACTCCGATACCCCGGGTACATGAACAACGACCTCGTTGGAATTATCGCGTCTTTGATACCAACTCCACGATGCCATTTCCTGATGACTTCCTATACGCCTTTCACTAGCGACCAAATCGACAAGGCGCGTGCTGCTCTGGCCCATGAGGCTTGTGTTTATTGACCTGCATTAGGCCAAGCCCATCAGGCGAACTACGGTGCTTGATGTCATGCGTCGATTGCTGCAGCCCAAGAATCGTATGGTCTCAACGAGACCCAGCAAAACAGCTTGCTATATCTCAATATTGAACATAATCCAGGGGGATGTTGACCCCACAGACGTAGGTTCTCCTGTGACGGACAACTGGAATCTGACAAGAGATTAGGTCCATCAATCTCTCCTGCGGATCAGAGAGCGACAATTGGCCAATTTCATACCTTGGGGGCCTGCTTCGATCCAAGTCGCGTTGACTAGGAGGTCCCCTTACGTTGCGTCCAACCACCGAGTCAGTGGATTAATGCTCGCCAACCACACCAGTATTGCCTCGGTACGTTCAAGTCTCATCCGTCGAAATTAGGTACTGAGACAGGCCTAAGCTTTTCAAGCAAATGCTCGATCAATTCGACAAACTGCGCCGGAAGAATGCGTTCCTTGAGCAGTACAAGAAGGAACGGATTTTCGAGAACAGTTTGGATGAATTCGATGATGCTAGGTACGCCAGCTCTGCTCTGCATTTCTATTCTGAATTCCCGCCAGGGCCACTTGCGAAGAGCTTATGAAAGAGTACAAAGCCTGTGAGAGCGCAGATTATATTACGTATGGCGCACAGGACGGAGAACAACCAGCATGAATGACCTTATATCTGTAGCCTTAGCTGTATATCTGTACACACTTCATCTCTGTTGCCCGGCTGTACTGAATGAATGCGATTCCAACTGTCTAGGACATAATCTACAAGTGGGGGCGGGCGGAAGCGACAACAGCAAGGCAAGGGATCAATTATGCGGATGACTTCTTCGTTTCGAGTTTCTTCCCGATGTCAGAGCCTGCAGGCCACCGTTCAGACGATAGCCGACGATGAGAGAGATGGAAGAACATACCACGCAGTTTGACACCCAGAACTCGCTCTAGTTTCCCCAGGATTTGAGGATTGGGAATTGCCTTGCCCGATTCGTAATCAGACAGGACAGAGGGTTTCTCATTGACCTTCTGGGCAACGTCCTTCTGAGAGAGTTTGAGCTCCATTCGAGCATCTTGCATGGCCTTTGAAACAAGTTGGCTCCCGGGATTGGATATGGAATCACATTATACGCACTCGTCCAACAGAGGCAGAAACTTTGGCGGGTGGTGCGACTTCGTTGTCCCGGTCAAGTTTGGCGATCTTCTGGTGATCAGTGCCCTGGTGAGCTTTGTTTCCTCCAGATGTTCCCTTCTTGTCGGTGGCGACGACTGCCCCTGCTCGTCGAGCCTATGACGCGGCCATCATCAGCACACGCTACGACAGCGTCGGAGATTTAGCCCACCGCGTTCAGATCTGAGGTGTTCTTGGTGACTTTGGCGACAGTTCGCTTCGAGCCGATAACAGTCTTGGAGTCCCAGTCGACGTCGGTCATGTTCAGAGGATGTAGATGGGTTTGGTGGTGAAAGTTGGGGATTGAGTTGTTTGGCACCGCCACCGGGGCACCTGCTGACTCGGTTGACTCGCGTCCGGTCGAGGCTCTGAGTCTGACACCGCGGCTATGCGACGAGGCATTAATCAGCTGGTCATCTTGCAAGCAAGACGTCGCCGGACCTGTCAGCTGCTTTTCGGAGACTGAGTCGGGCGGAATGTTCAGGATCCGAGTCGAATTCGAGTCTCTAGAAGATTCGATTGAATATCTTATCTTATCTGATTGGGGACGTCATCGGTACTAATAATTTTTTCCGTTCTACTTTGAGAGGGTGCAAATGCTTGCATGTTACTGGACCGACAACGACCGTCTACATCAGGACGTGTATGTCAGAAGTTAGGCAGGGGCCAGATGGCAACCTCGAGCGCTCAGCATGTTACCTTGCAGTAGCGAGTGATGTCACGCCGCCGGCCACTGCTGCCGCACCGACTGCAAACTGGCCACGGCAAGTTGCACGGGAACGGCGAAATCGCCGCAATGCCCGTCTGGAATCTGCTGTCCAATCCAGGCTGCAATCAGCACGAGGACGAACCTTGGATGCCGGGAACACAAAGGCAGCGCGAGGCCAGCAAGCTGTTTCGATGCAGGTTGCATTCGTTAAACTTCAGGCCCGCCTTGTGCAGTTGTTTAAATCTAAATGAAATCGGAACCAGTGTGTATTACACGTGCGATTGCAAATTGGACTTGTCCTTGACAATTTGAATGACTCCAGGTCCTTGTTTGTCGCACCTGCGTGACCCGATGCCATGCGTGTGACGCGTGACAGGTTGATCCTGTCTGATCCCCCGGGCAACAAAGAGAAACAAAACCCGTTTTCTTTGCTTACTACCATGGCCCGTATATCTCTCTCGCTATAGCCCCGGCAGCTGCTCTGATTCTCGTAGCTCCTTGGCCTCCAGTTTCATTCTTGGTTCTATAATCAGGACCCTCGAGGCTACATAAGATCTGGAAGGCTCCTCTGGATCCATCAGCGCAGCAGCTATCGCACATTCATAGATCCATCGACATAATCTCCAGCTTTGGCGGTAGCATCTTCACAAAGATGCCGTGCACAGCCCACCCCATTCTCAAACATATCCCTTCTTCTCCGGTTTTCGGTCCCCATCCTGAACCCCCTACTGTTCACTTTCCTCCTTCCCCGTCCCTCACGCGTACCTTCAGTGCGTATTCCTCCAGCGCATATGACCGATCTCCTATCGTCGTCACTCCCAACGCTTGTGCGCTCCCTGCACGTGGATGCCCCGGACGAACTTACTACGAAGGCAAACCTACGCAGAAACTCGTTGCGCCTGGTCCGCACACTCACAGCCAAGGTCGCTCTTTGCATCCACGGGCATTGGACTGTAGGAGTAGTGAAGATCAAGAAGATGAAGACGACGGCGAGGAGAGTGACCCTGAGCGGACGCCCACCAGGACAAGTCCTTACATCGGGCTCTCCGTTCCTCCGCCAATACCGCAATCCCCCGCCGTCCCCTCAAAGCCTACTCTGTCCCCGCCCCCGCACTCCGACTGTCATTTCTACTTCCCCCACCCTTCATCCGTTCCTCCCTTGATCCCCGATCTCAGTTCGGAGAGTGATGAAAGCGACGGTTTCATAAGTCCTCCACCGGAGACAGCGGGATTTGCGGACTTAAGTGCGTAATTCCATCACGCCCTGGGACATTTATTAATACATCTCCAGCTGCTCAAAAGTACACAAATCCGCTGCTCGGCATGCCGCCTCTTTCGGCGCCGTTTCCTGCCTATAATCACTCGTCGCCTTCCTTCGTCGAGTCTCCGCCTTCGGCGTCCCCCGTTGAACGTAAACGCCGGCGATCGCCTCGCCGATCTCACACGCCCCATCCTCGGTCTCATTCAGAGCTGGACGAAGACGGCTATGAGGAAGAAGATCTTCCGGGCTCGTTCTCCCACGCCGATCACTTTCGCAATCAAGTTCGATCCCCTTCCCCAGCAAGTCACTTCCAGCCGCTCTCAATCAACTCCCCGCCCGGTAGCAAAGCGAAGGAAAAGAAAGCGCGCAAGGACAAGAAGGAAAAGGGCGATCGCTCTGTGTCCTCTCTCTGTCGGTCTCTGACTGGCTCAAGCTTCAGGGACGAGGAAGACGGATGTTTAGGTGGTTTTTGAGAGAAGGCTGATTTTCATTTCAGCTTCCTACTCTGTTTTTGCTCCTTTCTGTGCTATTTATACACGCCACGACTTGTTTCTTTATTCTAGGAACCTCTTACGACCTTTCTCTAGCATTCCATTCGCTTATGACCTTTTTATTTGTCACAAAATGAATGTACAATCTCCTTGAGTACAATGTCACTAGAATTTGCCTAGTACAACACTTTGCACAGTCGCTGGACCTGGTTCAGCAAGATGTCACCCTGCTTCACCACCGTGTCGTATTGTGCTGTCTTCTTCAGAGGGCGTGTCGTCTCGACTGTCCCGTGCACTTTGTCGATCGTACAATGTAACCTCCCAGCAGCAATGAATCGGGAAAGCTCACTGGTGAACGGTCACGTGAGACTAGATCCAAAGCGACGGGGAAAAGCACGCACTTATCAATGAATTCCACGCTGACACCGAATGCTCCGGCGAGACTCTCGAGCGTCAAACTCCGGTAACTCTCGAGTAGCTGGGTGTAGGCCAGGATTCGAGCTTCACGTACGTAAAACCGTGCATGTGGTGCGAGAATTCGTGAGGGTAACAGATGGGTCTGTTCCAGCTCGGCTGTGACATCCGAGAAATCTGATCAGTTTCCCGCTGGCAGAAGCCGTACAGAACATGTCACCTAAAGCAACGAAGAACTTGTCATAGTGACAGCTGTAGAGACTATTCACCAGCTCCCCAAGCAGTGGCATTTCAGGCAACGCTTGCGCAACTTCGGAGGCCCCGATAATCTGGAGGAACATGAGTAGTGGTTCGTGGATATGACAGAAAGCCTAGCCTTTTTCTTGAGCTCGACTCGGTTGAGACCTAAGACGCCTGCAATCATGGTCATGCCGACAAAGTCGTTGTAGCTTATAAGCTCGGTTGCAGTGAAGGTCGAAAGCGCATCGATGAAAAGGTCGCCGCCGCTCTTCTGCCAAGATGTAAACATGGGGTGAAATCGGCATCAAGCGAACAGCGTACAAACTGCCGGATCGACAGCATGTACAGGCCCCGATAGACCTTCAGTCGGTTTCTCCGATCCCAATCGCCACCTTCTTCTACAAGTCTGCAATATTGTGAGTGGCCGATCTACATCTTGAGAGACTTCCGACAAACGTTTCCGCTTTCGCCAGATATTTCGTGATATCCTCTCGGTTTCCCCAGAAAAATGCGATGCGAATGAGGGTGAGAGAGATATCTATACGGGATCCGAGACCGGGGGTCTTCTCAAACGCGAGGAGTTGTGCGGTGGACGCGTCCTGGTGTACACTTGAGCATTGCCTCTGCCTACGTTCACAACGTACGAGCTCACCTGGTCTCCAATCTTGGTCAGATAGTTGGCGCGCGCGCGCAGTGCATCACTGATCTCAGACTCCCCCTCGGTTTCTTGGGCAAGTTTGAGCCGTTCGTCTAGTTTCTCAAGTTCGGCATTGTTCTTCTTCTCCAATTCCTCCAGGAGAGCCGCGTCAAGAGTGATCGACGGTGAAGGTGTCGATGAGGATGAAGCCATCGGTTCGACAGGAGAGCTGGGCGACGGCGCCTGGGTCAAAGAACGGTACCACGGGCCCATTTCATCAGCTTTGATGCCTGCGAGAAGAGACTTCCGAGCATCATCGTGATATCGAGATAGAGACGCATTAGAGAGCGTAAAGAGGTTCTGCGCAAGAACGAGATTGGGAATCGGAAGAACGTCGTCACTGTGGTCAGACATGGTAGCTTGGAACTATTGCAGGACGCGTCAGTCTTGTTTGACGGTGGCTGTGCGGGACAAACAAGATTTGATCATAGATGTGATCCGTCAAAATTTTGCGACCGCGACCCCGATGGTGTTGTCGAGTCTCGCAGCCCAACTAGCGAAGGGCGCATCTCTCAACGCATCTCTCCTCGTAGAACGAACGAAACGAAAACCTACCGAGTCTTACCTCTTCACTGGGCGTGATGCAGACCAACATGACCTCGATTCTATCTACGCCGTGGGCACCAACGCATTTCTGCAGCTATGCACATTGAACGATGTGTTTCGAGAATTCGAGGAGCCTCTATTTTCGGACTCGTCTAGGCAGACGGACAGGACGCTCCTTCCTATGTCACAGACCGCAGAGTTGGACGCCGTGATTGCAAGGTTTTTACCGCTGCTAGGACCGTATCTGATCGAGGCGCCCACTGGCAGAGCTTTGGAGTGGCTTGTGAGAAGGTTCAGGTATGATTTTACAGTCTATGCTCCTCGTGTATTCCCAAGACTGCCCCAGGATCCACGAGTTTAATGTCGAATCTATTCTGGAATTGTTTCTGCCATACCATGAGTCTCCACATTTTGCCAAGATGCTATCTATCCTACACATCAAGTGAGGCTCATGTATCACTCTATATACATTCAATCTGACCGTGATATAGGCCGAACTCAACATGGATATTCCTTTTGCCCTTCAAGGCGGCGGCTCAAAACATCCAGCGGCCCGCTCTGGTCACAGAGATGCTAAAGAACGCGGATGCAACCCACTTTGTGGTCAACCTTCTCCCCTCAGCGCTCAAAGGCGGCTACTCCCACCACACTCTCCTCGCGTTTAATGCTGCAACAGTCCACGATTATCTCAAACGAGCTAAATCGCTGGACGAGGGGACTTTGGCGCTTCTTTTGTCCGCTTTCCTCGAGCCACTATCTTCCAAATTCGAGGCCCCAAGAGATGCTGTTCTTGGAAGCTATATCTTGATCGCTGCCTTGACTCAAGTCTGTCAGTTAACCGCAACTGCTTTGAAGACCACCATCGGCGCTATGGCTGGTTGCGCGAAGCGTGTTTCCACCCGCCAGTTTGTGAATACACTGGTGGCTGTATGCGAAGCTCAGGAGCAGTTGGATTCCTTCACAGATGGAACTGCGAAGAATGTTCTCCGGTTGCCGTCAGTGGGAGCAATCGTACATTCCCGGATCTCTACTCATCTTCCGGTAGAAACATCGCACAAGAACTTCGGATTGCAGAGAAATATGCAGGGGCGGAGAGTCTGTACGCTCCCCTACTCACGAGTGCATGCAAACAGTGCGTCGCCCATCATCTCCGAGCGTTCTTTCCCCTTGTGACGGTGATGCAGCATTGAGGACGAGGCATTGCCGCCGTTTCTCGAATACATCATTGGGTCGCCCACGGCTCTTGTGGGCGTCATCAAGCATCTGACTGCAGTTCTCCTGCGCGCGGCTGTTTCAGAGGACGATATTCTTGCGACGAACAACACACTGTTGGGCAGCATCTTGCCAAAGATCAAGCAGATACATCCAGAATGTTTCGAACAAGTGGTTGCTGAGCTTTCCACGGCGCAACCCGATCTACAAGCAACGCTCAACGAGTTCGTTGTGTCGTTGGCAATTTCAGGGCCTCTTGCACGGCTCGCTACATCCGAAGGCACGAGTGTGGTCGCTTCGATGAATTCAGACGAGCATGCTCGTGCAGCTGGCGTCAAGGAGCTGCTGAAAAGCGCCAGGCAGAATCTCACGGTGCGTGCCTCTGTGTCCTGTATCCCAGCCAACCAACATTTTGATCGAAGGAATCCGTGCGCGACGCTCTTATTGCTCGCGTCCAAGACACAAGTGTCATCGTGCTTACAGCTCTGTATTCTGATCCGGTTTCCCTGCTCCCTATCTTCCTCCATGAACCAAAACGCTACATCGATGGACTTTCTTTGTCCTTCGGCAGCGGCCAAAAGATCAGACGTCATATCCTTCGCCTTCACCTTGGTTTTTTGGCGACCCATTTCTGTGCCAAAGCCACATCCGAGTCGAAGGAGGATGTGTTCCATCAGATCATCTTTCCGTTTTTGTTGTTCTCCAAGACCAGGCAGCATACCGCCGAGCTCGTCTGGGAAGTCATCTCGCAGAATCCGGCTATCCGGCACGAGCTGTTGATTGGTTGTGTGACCAACATGGACGGCGACGACAGCGACAAGATGGCGCATATCAATGACTCGACGAGGCGCAGAATCGCTGGTGTGTTCGCTTCTTGAATCCCACTCGACGCCTTCAGCTAATTTATCAGAAAACATACTCAACTCGGACCGTTATGCCACGCACTTGAGTGCGCTCGTCCGTAAGGCGCATGACGCTGACCCCAACGTGCGGGTCCTGGCCTTGCTAATTATGCGAGCTCTGCTCGAGCAACTCTCTGGCGAACGTTTGCTGGATGCCGCGAGCCAGGCTTTCGAGGCCGTTAATTTGCAACAACTTCCAGATGTTGACGCATCCCTGCTGGGATCACAAGGCCTGATCCAGGTCAGTCCGATGCTTTTTCACTTGGCGAGTTCTGACACCCATCATAGTATCTCAGCCAAGCTGTAATTGGAAAGATGGTCGTGCACAAGCTCACCAGTAAGACGACGACAAGTTGGCTGCAGATATCTATTCTGGCCGTCGTAGCTTCTGTTCCCAAACAGGCCGGACGAGTCCCTGACTGGTTTGGGCCTTCGGTGAACCGCTTGCAATCTGTGACTGAACAGTGACTGAACAAAAGGACAGGATCCTCACGTGCAACTACAGCGATCCGTCTACAGGATTGCCAATTCGACTGCGGCGACGCCTCTCCTCAGCATAGGATTGCTCTCGGAACTCTTCGCCACCCTCAAGGACGATTCCTTGGCATTCTTGTCAGGCCTGTGGACGATGGCGGAAAACAACAATGAGAGCTGGATTTGCCTTCTGGCTCTGCGCCATGCCGCTGCATTTCTGCAAGCCCACAGTGAGGAATCGGATGCTGTTGATTTTCAGACGATTCTGCCTGCTTTGGTCGTGTGCTTGTCCAGCAAGACGAGACCAGTTCGGGAGGCCGCTTCAGAATGCATTGCCCTGTTGCAGCGCATGGCCAACGAAGCCAAGTTCTCTGCAGTCTATGCGTTCGATGCAATCTACGGGACTACAGAAGGTCAGTAGCCGGACTCCCGTCACCTCTTACTGCTGACCCCGGGTCAAGCCAGCCTTCAATACGTGTCTGCAGCAGAGCTCGGCCGCTACCTCAACGCACTCACCGATCATAGAGAGCATATCGCCCTGGACTTCCATTCTATCAAAGTTCTTCATGCTCAGCACCTCACCAGAGCAAAGAGCGACGCGAGAAAGGATGCGGAGTGCGTGTCGCGTGCCATGTGATTTGATCTGATCTGATCTAGCTTATCAGATACAAACAGCATATACTGTGCTATCTTCTGTCCCATGTTGTTGCTGTCCCGCTGACGTCCATGCGCGTCGTGCTTTTGGAGGTCCTTCAAAATGTGTCGGATGCCTCAAAGAGCACTGTTCTGACGCCGCTCATCTCAGCCGCGAGTCACGGCAGCTTGGAGGAACGGCTCGCCTCACTCGTTATCGCTTCGTTCGACACTTCGACCGTTTCAATCTTGAATGATGTCAAGAACAAGACGTGGACAGACGTCTTTGTTCCGTTGTTGGAATATTGTTTCAAATCTGCTTCACCCTCTTCCTGCCGTCAAGTGCTGTTAGGAAACCTGGAGAAGCTAGTCAGCCAACTCACTCTGGAGAGGAAAGTGGCACTGTGTGAAGTTGTTTTGACTGCGGGAGTTAAAGATGCGGATATGGCCAGTCATTGTCCTCCAGGTCTATGCTATGATTCTGACTAGCTGTGCAGTACCTGTCTGCAAAGACTCTTGTTGCCACTGCTCTCAGCGATATTGCAGTCAGCATGCATCTGCTCGGAAACATCCGACCAGACGCCAGCTCAAGTCCTCGTGCCAGCAAACGTGCCAAGCTATCAGAGTGTGTTCCTTTGCGCCAGTTCAGACTGTCGTCTTACACGCCTCCAGAGTGCCAGACGACAGCTTTGCCCGGCTCAGTCTTCTTGCAGAGGTTTTGGCTGACATGGCTCTGCCCGGGTCCCTTGATCTCGTGTCCCGACTACTGGAGACGTTACATCATGTCGTGCAATCCAACGCGCCGGCTGATGTCGACGTCAGCTACATCGAGCAGTCACTGATGTCTGCTATCGAGCGCTCGGCAGAGAAGATTGCTGTGGGCTGCGATTCGTTTCCCAAGCAGGACGCGTCTGATTTGCTGCAGACTCTATCTTCCTCCATCCATCTTGATATTCTGGTTGAGCTTATCCGCGGTTCGTTCGCTCCCCGTGATTCTGTGCATTGTGTCTGACACGCTGCCAGTTGCCGATAACCCGCAAACATCGAACCAAGCATTGCTGCTCATGGCTACTCTGGCCCGTCTGGCTCCTGAATCGGCTCTGCAAAATGTGATGCCTGTTTTCACCTTCATGGGCTCAAATGTGTTCCACCGTGACGACTCGTACAGCTTCAAAGTGGTCCAGAAAGTGCGTGGCGCTCATGTGTTCGCATGATGCAACTGACTGGGAGCGACAGACAATCGACAGCATCGTCCCGGTGATGGTCGCCTCCCTCAAAAAGTCGCAGCCCTCGAGATTAGAGCTCTATATCGCTGCCCGGGACTTTGTCAGAGTGTTTACCGATGCGTCCAATCACATTCCGCGACATCGCAGGACACAGTGCGTAGACTGTGCTGTGCGATTAACCACTCCATTCAACGCTTTCTAGCTTCTTTGGTCATCTTACGAGTGTCCTGGGCGTGTCGGATTTCCTGCCCCCACTGTGCATGCTGCTTGTTGAAAAGCTCGGCGCTCGCGTAATTCGGCAAAACCACGATGAGCTGCAGAACACTTTGGCCTTACCCATTTCTGTCATCCACCGACAGCCAGTCGAGCTCCAAATCTTTGTGCGCACTCTCATATTGTCGAAAGTTGGGTTTTTGACAGCGTTCAGGTTCTCACGGAAATGCTCCGAGAATCACAGAGACTACTCGCACGAGCGGCCGATCCCGAGAATCTCGAGCCGTGTCTGTTGGATACCTCTCCGTGAGCCGGTTTACATTGGGCGGTGTCACGTGTCCCGCTAACCGTACCTCAGCGACGATAACCAGCTCCAGCCTACTGCATCGACATTCAACCGACGTGCCCAGGCCCTGGTTGTTTTCGTCGGATCAGCCATCAAGAGTTGTCCCCCTGCAGAAGCAGCTGCTCCTGACGGCGGATCGATCAGCGACCTGGTCTCGTTGCTCATTGCGCTAGCGACCACCCGCACCGACAGCGATGTTGCGCAAGCGGCTCGCTCGGCATTGCACAAGTCTCTCGCGAGCATGTCTGCGGTGGACTTCGTTGCCTCGATCGTCCGTATCCTGCTATCTTCTGACGCCCAGGTGCAAGCCGGCGGCTTGGATCTGCTGGCGGAGCGACTGCCAACGATCGCAGATTCGACGAGGGCAAAGATTTCTGCCCATATCAATGCGATTGTTGTAGAGACGCAAAAGCTGCTGGTGCTCCATCCAGATGGGAAGATGGCGGGGTCATGTTACCGGGCGCTGAAGGCCATCGGCGGCACCCTCCACAGTGGCGAGGAAGGAGCATTGACGGCTGCGGTGCCGGCTGTGTTGGCTGCTATCAAGGCGAGGAGGATGACCAAAGAGGCGATGGGTGTGTTGGTGCCTTTGTCGTGCGTGATCATGAATTCGCTGTCGGCTTTTATCTTGATTCTGCTTTCAGGACGAAGTTGGGTCCCCGGATCATCCCTTTCTTCCGCGAGGTCGTGTCCCAATGTACGGCGCTGCTGCATGAGGCGGTGATCCCCGAGGCTCTTGCCGTATTGCACGGTCTATTGACCTCGATACCCTCCTTCTGGGGCGTGTCCGAGCTCACGCAGGTCGCACAGTTGTACGTTGACTCCCCGTCAGCTGCGTTAGCGCCGCTCATGAAGGCACTGGCGAAACGCGCCCCGACGGCTGTGCTCATCAGTGCCTTGGAGAGCATGTGGGCTAGAGTAAAAGACTCTCCGCAGTCTCTGGTCGGGTACTTTGACCTCCTCAAGAGATGTCTGCGCGGTGGCTTGCGGCCGGCCGTGCAGGACAATGTGCGGGGTCTGTTCAAGGTCTTCCTCGACGCGTTTTCTATCTCCAAGCACCAGAGCGACGCAGAAACAGAGGTCACGGAGGCGTTCATCGAGCTTGTGGTCAAACTCAACGAGGCCTCTTTCCGCCCGCTGTTCCGCAAGATGTACGATTGGGCGTTTGTCGAGGGCGAGAATGTCGCTCGCAAGATCACATTCTGCAGCGTGTACTCTGCGTTGCTGGACTACTTCAAGGGGCTGATGAACCCATATATGGCGCTGCTCGTCCAACCGTTCGTGGACACTCTGGAAGCCGGAGCGGATCCTGAGCTGTGGAAGGCGGTCCTCGATGTGATGGTGAAGAGTCTGAACTCAGACGACGGCTGTGCGTGCCTTTCTTCGATTCTATGCGCTTCTTTCATCTTTCTTCAGCTTTCTGGCGTGACGATAAGCTGAGGCTGACCACCCCGGTCCTCGTCCGGCAACTGCCGACCTGCACAACGGCCGAGGCCAAAGCCCTGCTCACCGAGTCGCTCGTTGCCTCGGCGGACAGCATCACCGACGACGCGTTGCTCAAGTCTCTCAATCTGGACTTGCTCATGCACACTCGCTCCGACGACTTCCGTGTCAGGGTCTTCGCGCTGGCGGCGGCAAGCCAAGTCTGGGATGTGCATGGGGGGAAGCTGCTGCCCTTCGCGTCCGAGACCGCCACCTTCATCCTCGAGTGTGGCGAGGATGAGAACGATCTCGTTGTCAGAGAGGCCCTAAGGCTGAAGGGCAAGGTCGAGGCCGTGGCTGGCAATATAGCTGGGTTGTAAGTAGATTGCCTTACAGTGCTTGTATTTGTGTCGGCCGAATGATCCGATGAGTTTTGCTGTCTCTTGCTGCATCCGCATGTACGACCTGATACCACCACTTGGCAATACCTTCCTACCTCCAGCTTCTTGGGCTGAGTTTTTGCTGATATACGCATTCTATCTTACATGTCCGGCCAAAGGTATGCATCAGAGCAATCCATCTGGAACACTCGAGCCTCATCATACCGACGCGGCCGTGCATCGCAGACTCTCCTTCCGCGACCTGCTTTCTCATGGCTACAAGTATGGGGAGCCTTGGGCTGAGGACCGACGCAATCTGCAAGCAGTGTTCGACCACAGCGACAGAATTTCCGGCTCTGGCTACTATCCCAATTCGAATTACGCGCCTGCCGCCCGGCGCGAGACTAGCAGGACCTCCAGTGCAGGACGCGCTGGCAACGTACCGACCAGCGGCTATGCAAACCTCAATCTGGGCTCGCGTCCACTTCCTGATACGCCGCTCAACTCGCGCTCTCCCTACGCACCTCCCGCTCAGTATGCCTCGCGACTAGCGCGTGCTCCCGGCCAGGCCTGGCGCACATATTCCTACCCTTACGATACACGTGCCTCGGGCGACGCTTCGGACCGCGAATACAGTGGCGCGTACATCGAGGAAATCTCGAGCCGGCGATCAAGCTCCCACACGCCTTCGGTGCATAGTCGAGACTCTGGCCACGGTCGCGCGCACCCGCAAGCATCGCCGCATTCGCCAGCCTCTCATCGCTCGTGGGCCGTCCAGCCGCAGCAGCACGACGGCAGCAGTTCCTTCTCGACGCGACGCGGGCCGGACTCCTCGCCAGACTTGTATCCGTCGTCATCGACGCATACGCGGAGCCACTACTCGCCGCCATCGACAATTGCGCAGCGTCGGGCCTCGTCCCACCATTCCAGTGATCGTTATGGATATTCCCATCGCTCGGGATACGGCCCCGGTGTGTTCGACAGCGATGGGGACAGCCACTGGTCGCAACTCGAACGGTCTGCGCCTAGTGCCTTTGCAGTCCCTGAAGCGGCATATATCATCGAGCCTTCGGACGCTGGGTCTGACTCCGATTCGTATTCGGACCATCGCAGTCTGTCAGACGACAGTGAGGGTTACGATTTCGAAGAATATTTAGGGAATGACGGGGAGGGATATGTGGATAATGAATACGAGGACTACGGAGACTATGATTCAGACTCTGACTATAGCTACGACGACGACGACTGAGTAGACACTGAGTACTCTATGACCTTTCCTCTATCATCGAACGGAGGCTGTGCAATACCTCCCTTTTTTATCTTATCTCCCATGGCCGAAGATTTTGACTTGGAGGCACTTGTAGACCTGGAGCAAACGTCTGTTCGCTAGACCTTTTCCGTGCCATGCTAGGTTGCCGAGCTACCATATCAGCTTCTATGATTCAGGCTACGAAGATGGCCACGCACACGGCCGCATCCACGGCCTCATCGAGGGACGCGCTCTCGGACGTGAAAAGGGATTTGAGATGTGGGAGGAGCTCGCGTTCTACGATGGCTTTGCCCGCACATGGCTCTCGATCTATCGGACGCTGGATCGGGGCGACGAGTGCGTATCGGATGTGTCTCGTGAGGGAGCCTGACCCTTAACTTCAGCCAGCCGCGCGGTCCGCCACATCCAGCATCTCCTCGAACTCATCAGCCAGTTCCCACGCGTGAATCCGTCTGCTGCCGATCCGTCATCGGAGCTCGACATTCTCAGACTCTCCCGGCAGATACAGTCGCGATATCGTGCCCTCTGCTCCACACTCGGGGTCAAGCCAGCCAACATCCGAGCGTCCTCGGAGCCTGTGGAGTCGGAAGGCCAGGTTGCGCCGACGGGCGCCAACCCCCCAGTGTGGCGGGTGGACAACCCCATGTCGTTCTGAAGGTTACGAAGATGATACATGCTTGCTACATAATGCACAAATGGTGAGGACTCCAGGTATAAGACGAATGCGATGTAATCTAGGATATAGTGTACGTATCACCGAGAGAGGGTAGGGCTCAGCTGAAAAAGCCCAGGTCAATGTATGTTTGTCACGCGACAAGGAGCCCGTGAAAATCACGCACCATTCTGCGTTGCGAAGCTGCCCAGCTCGTTGGGTGCGGGGCGGCCAACTGATTGCGCGCGGTCTTCATGCCCATCGCGTGGACCACGCCCAGCATCAGCTCCTGCTCGCGCCTGTACCTCTTGACAGAGTCGCTCATCAGCCGTTTCTGGCGCGTCAGATCCTCCTCGAGGATCCGTATCTGCGAACGGAAACTCGTTTCGGCTTCTTCGAATGTGCCTGGCGCCGCAGAAAGTGCCTGCGTCGCATGTTGCTCTTTGAACAGTTTATCTTGCTCCTTGATGAACGTGCGCGCTTTCACTAGTTGAGCCTGCGCAGTCTTGTTCGACTCCTTCAGGTTTACGTTCTCCTCGTGCAGAGCCAGCAGCCGGGTCTTGATGTCTTCGGGGAGGTCCTTTCCAGACAGTGTAGCCCGCAGGTCGCTGGATAAACGATGAGGTGGTGTCATGGAACGGAACAACCGAAAGAATATACCCAAAGTCCCGCTCTCGCTGCAGGGCCTTCTCGCGGTGGCCGATGCCCTCGCTCTGGAGATTGACTTTCTCCAAAAGCAGACCATTGACCTGCTCGAGCTGCATCCTATTCTTTTCGCTGAGCTCCTTATTCTGCTGCTTCAGTCGTTCGACATGTGACTCCAAGGTGGCCTTATCCTCATTGACAGAGTCCCGAAGCGTGTTGAGAATATCCAACTGATCCTTGTTCACCAAGGTCACTAACAACCAGTCAGTTGAAACTGAATCGTAAACACTGCGCGACTCACAGTCGGATTTGCAGATGGTCAACTCTCGGCTTTGGGTGTCGAATTGAACTTGCAGCTCCGTGTGGTCTTTTCGAAGAGTGTCCAGTTCATCGACAGCTTCATTCAGCCTCTGCCGCAAGGCGATGGCAGCCTCGGCACTACTGAGTGTGAACGCCATTCTCGCGTGACAGGCTGAAACACAACGTACCCATCGCCCATCGATTTTCCGCTGCGAATCTCGTCGAGGTCACGCTGGAGCACAAGCTTTTCACGGTGTGCAGCGAGATAGTCGCCCTCGTATCTTGTCTTCATGCGATTGGCATCTTCCAGGAGATTCTCCAACACAAGGATGCGACTCGCGTCAGCCTCGCTCTGCCGCGTGGTTTCGAGCTCCCGCTTGAGTTTCCGGATCTGCAGCTTCAGATCTGTCATGGTCGTCCCCGCGATGGCATCGTCCAGTTCCCCGCCAAGTCCTTGTACAGATTCATCCTCATCGATTTCCGTCTGTCCGAGAGATTCACCCAGTGATTCGGGTTCGATGTACTCGTCTGCACCGCTAGCTTCTGGCTTGCGTTTGCTGACCGGGCGCTGCGAACTCAGCTCCAATTCGCGCACTCGTTCCTGGTAGAGTTCAAGGGTCTCCGCATCCCGGGCCCGTTCGCTCGTCTCGATTTTGAGTTTGTTTTTGACTTCGCTCAATTCAAATCGAACGGTATCTAGCTCCTGAGCTCGAGCTGAGTGCTTTGACTCCATTTCCGAAATTTGGCTCTTGTACGACTCCATCAAGGGCTTGAAGGCTGCGACCTTCCGGTACTCTTCCTCCAGTGCAGCATTCTTGTCTACCAAGTCTGAGTTTTGCTTGGTGAGAGCCTGAATTAGAGTGTCAGCCTGCGGCGGAAAGGTTACTGTATGAAAAGCAGCAGACCTTAACGTTTTGCCGCAATTCTGCACTCTCTTGCAATTTCTTCTTATACTTTTCCATAACATTCTCCTGCTTCTGGAGCCTGTCTGCTGTGTGCCGGTACCTTAATAAGATTCAGCAGACGTCGAGAGGGCAAGGAAGCTAATTTACTCGTCGACCTGGTCTTTCAGTCGTCCGGCTTCTTCCGCTCGAGCCAACAAATCCTCGTTCTGCTTTGTAAGGTCGGTAACAATATGGGCTTGCTTATCCAGCTCAGTTTCCGCAGTCGCAAGATTGTCCTCGCTTTTCTGCCTGCATTTCGTTAGGAATGACGGTTTAGAGGAGCCTCAGATCACGCACAGCTCCGAACGAAGTCGATCGATCTCACCACGCAACATGCCATCTCCCTTGTCGTTTCTCCTCGAGTCGGCTTCGCTACGAACGTTCTTCAGCTGCGCCAACGCGTCCTCTTTTTCGGATGCCATGTCGTCGTAGCTTGTCTGTAACGTTCGGTGCTCCTCTAACAGATTCTGGTACACCTTTTCTAGTGTTTCCTTCTCCGATAAGATATTGCTTCGCTCAGATTGCAGTTGGTAGTAATGATCGTCTCTAGGATGAGATTGAGCATCGGAAGCGGTGATTGACATGGGACGCACTCTGTGATACTTGCCTCCCCACTATCTCCAGAAGTGCTGATCCGCGCCATAACCTATGGCAGATTAAGTAGATGTGAGTGTCAGGTCCGAGTTTGACGTACTTGCTCGATCGCCTTCATGAGATAATGCTGGTCGCTTTCGGTCAGGCCCTGAATCTTGTCTATGAACTGCTTGTTCTGCTCGCATTGAACACCAATGGCCAGCGTCAGGCGGCACATGGCGAGAATGTGAGTTGGGGAGTGGTCTTTAGCCACGGCTTGGAGGTCCGGAACATCAAGTCCGCTGGTAGGCTTCTGCAGAACCTCGGTGAGGTACTGTGTCATGAGACGATATAATCGTTTGAGGGAGCTGAATCGAAGGACCCAGTTGTCTGACGGAAGGGCCGAGGGCCGCGTAGACTGGCGGAAGTAATCCGCATCGCTGGAAGACGCGTGGTATCAGCAGCACAAACGACGTTGCAGCGGAGCAGGATTGGCGCACACGAGGGTGAGTACTTCGAACAGAGCTGCACCGTCGCTCAGGTCTTCCAGAGTCGATACTGGGCGAACAAGGTCGAAGGTGGCGAGGAAACTGAAGAAAGCATCGATTTCCTTGCGTTCGGCCATGACAGTCTCAGGAAATCATGCGCAGGCGACGTGATCTGACCCTAACCCGACAGTGATTGATCGTAAACTACGCTACGACTTCGCGCTGCTCGCTCCTCCATCAATACGACCCGACGCGCAGCCATCAGTTTCTGGACATAATGGACGAGCTGTTTAATGTCCGGGTATAAGAACATCGGCACGATCACTCCCATCACAGGCAGCGCAATAATCCAGAAGCTATTACAGGCCATGAGAGTCTGATCGCGTTCGAACAGAGGAGCTTACAAGACATCGCTGTTGTTGTTTATTGACCACATTTGCGTGAAGTTCATCCCCTGCAGCGGATGTGAGGCGGCGCGTCATCAAAAGTGACCAGAACACGAACGAAGTAGCCCGTGAGGAGGGTGAGCGGCAGGAAGATGATCGTCGCCAGAGTGAGACGGCGCATCACTTGGTTCATTTCGTACGAGGCCATCTCCGAGAAAGATCAGCTCAAATTCACAGCCCAGACGACGAACACACATTGAATGCATAGTTGATTAGATTTTCGGAAATTCCGGCAAACATGTCGAGACTTGTGAGCACAAAGTCCATATGGTCATAAACATCGGCCTGAATCCCTGTTTTAGGCATGCTTCCCGGCCCAAACATACGACTGACCAGATAAATCTTGGCTTTATAACTCATGTAACCCTGTGTGACAGTATTGTGAGAGACGGCGACCAGTGCTGAATCTCGTTCACGATTTTCGGAGCTACGGTGATGCGCATTCGCAGGCATATCGGCACCCAGTCCTAGTGCAGCACACCGGTCCTGGTCGTACTGTCGGAGGCCATATATCATAGACCGGATTGGCTCCAGCGTACGTTTGTGTAAAATCAAGTCCCCGGAAAGGATGTGCACTAATTTCCGGATTAAATTTGATCGTGCAATGAACGAGCCGACTCACAGCTCCTGACTGAGGACATTCCCGGCTTCATCAGGATTTGGCGTTCAAGCTCGTGGATCTTATCTTGATATTCGTCCATCACCTGCAAGATGCGATCGACGACTGCATCATCCTAATTTGAGACTGAATGGAAAAGGTGCAGAGAAAACCAACTCAGATCAAGTAGCGCCTGGACCACTAGGGCCGGATCAGCCGACGTGCGCATCCCAGAGTCCTGCCGCTGGATTCGTTCCGTCACAGCCTCTGTGAACTCGAGGCTAGGACTTGGCCGGATGGAGATCACAGTTCCTTGAGACGACATCAGCTTCGTTGTTATCTAGCATGAGCTGCCTCACCTTCCCGAAGAAGAAATATGAACATGGGCTCGTGATGGACAACCACTCGATCGCCTTTCTTCAGTGAAGCTATCTTGAGAATCTGTTGTTGTCGAGGCTGCAAGTAGTTAGTGCTGTTGTGTTGTCAGATGAGAAGCATGCGTCTGACCGAAAGATGGAAGCCACTGAGACTGGACAAGCGGGTGAACCTGCGCTTATTTTCGTATATTCCAGCTGTGCGTTCAGCATCGTTGAGACGAAAATTTCTCGAATATTCCGAGGTTGGTTGCGCATCCGGCTGGATGTCGCCTTCCCGGCCCAATGTATGGCAAACAACACGAAGAAAGAGATGCTGTCGGTAATAATCACTCTTGGATTGATTGTGACCTTGCTCGTGCAGTATATCCTCGAGCGCTAGGGCATGCAAGTCTACAGTTCGAGTGAGCCAGTAGCGACAGAAACTTGAAGTAAGTCACGCGCCATATTTGAGAGCCATGGCACTAATGACATCCCAGCTTATGCCACCGATATTGATCCATCTCAAAGAAGGCGGGCGCGAGTCGGGCTTGGCTTCCGGTTGCTTCATTAGATCGACAAACTCCAGGTTGGACATGGTAGTGACTTCAACGTGCTCAGGAGAGTAGTCCGTGACTTGTATTGCACATTTTTGACTGAATTCTTCGGATTCGTCTCCGCGAGGATTGGTGCCAGGTTCTGAGCCAATGCCTGCAGGTCTTCTCCGCCTGAGAGCCGTAGCCGATCTGCCCAGGTTGGTTTGGCTGCTTGATTGTCCAGGAGATTCCCTGGTGCTGACATCTGAATCATGAGAGATGAGACGCGGGCCAGCGGTGGACATGGTCGAGAGCCAAGCTTTTCAGCTTGAACAACAGCTCCACCGTGGCTTCCAAGTCCCAACATTAGCGATGACGGCGGTGACCTGTCAACAGGTTGATGGTGGCTGTCCTCCATATTTGGCCGGATGGATTACTTCGGCAATAACCGCCGATCATCCATTGACTCCTTGGAATCAAAAGTTCAACTAAGTATGACCGCGGCGCTCATTCGACTGGAATCGAGTCATTTGCCGCCTTAAACTATAGCTCCAGGGCTCTGAACATAAGACTCTCAGATCCACCCAGTCTGCGCCCATGGCGAATCTGATCATTGACGGGAGTGTGCTCGAGGGTGGTGGTACGGCTCACCGTCAGGGTCGCTGCTCCAGTCGAAGTCCTGATCAAATTCCAGGCCAGATCCTAAGGAACTCGATATCTCTGTCTGCTCTTCTGCGAAAACCTATCACCATCCAAAAGGTTCGCAATGGTAGAAGACCGCCCGGCCTCAAGAACCAGCACCGCACAGGTGCACATCTTCTCCAGGAGATGCTTTGTAGCATCGCTGAACGAGTGTACTCAGGAATATTACTTGCAGCTGAGATTGCGTCTGCTGAGGTGACAGGCGCAAAAAATGGATCTTCGCAAGTCGACTTTGTTCCCAAACACATCGCAGCCGGGCAATATGCTGCCGTCCGTTTGCTAACTAACCTGCTCTATCCTCAGAGTTCTGACGTTTCGCAGGATCCCATCACTGCAGGAGCAGCCACTCTGCTCCTCCAGATCTCGTTGCCCTTGCTGCTCTTCGCCCCGGAGGCCTCGACGCTGACTTTGAAAGGTGGAACGAACGCTACTGGTGCACCCCAGGCGGATTACATCCAACACGTATTCCTCCCCTTTGCCCGACGTCACTTTGGCTTGAACGCCGATCTGGACATCCGCCGTCGCGGGTACTTTCCCAAGTAAGTGGCGTGAGTCCTCTCAGAGGGGCGCGAACTTATGCTCCTCTGCAGGGGAGGAGGACAAATCGATGTGAAAATCACTCCGCACATGAGGCTTACAAGCGCAAGTGTCCTGGAGCGAGGATCCGTCACCCGAATCGGAGGCATCGCGCACTTTGCGGGACTCCCAGGGCAAATCGGGACGCGCATCGCCGATGCGGCCGTGGCCTGCTTAGCCGCCCGAGGATTTTCGCAGGGCGCGTCCACTCCAGTACCCGTCGAGGTTGTCAGCAGACGTGAAAAGAACGAAAACACCGTGGGAGCAGGCAGCGGACTGGTTCTCTGGGCCGAATTAGATGGAGGCGGCATTATTGGTGGAAGCTGTGTTGGATCCAAGCAGAAAGGACCGGAAGACGTCGCGAAAGAAGCGACAGAAGAGCTTCTAAAGGGCCTCGACTCCGCAGCCTGTGTCGATGAATGGCTACAAGACCAGATCATAATTCTCATGGCGCTTGCTGATGGAGAGTCGAAAGTCCGTTGCGGCGAATTGACGCTACACACTAGGTCGGCCTCTGTCGTCTCAAGATGAAAACTGATGCTCTCTTTGTAGGACTGCGATTTGGGTCGCAGAACAACTGACTGGGGCGAGATTCAATGTCACTCAGCAGGGAACGAACAGTATCATTAGCTGCCAAGGAATCGGGTACACTTCACCACAAGCGCTTGCGATACAATAAATAGTATTAGATGGCAGTCCAGTCGGTGATACATGTTATTACGGGTCAGTCGTGATCTAGGGCATCCAGGCATCATCGGTTCCAGGAGAGCAGTGACATATCACCAAGTCGTCTATAACATGGATTTAGAAAGGCAGGACCACAGTAGCTTTGTTTCGTCTTACCGTGGCTTGATGAGATGGCGAGCAGTTCCGGCGATGGCCAGCAGAATGAACACGGCGGCAGCACCCACATACGCCCAACCCAAGAACGCATTCTTTCCCCCGATCCATGACACAGTCGAGATGACGATAGACTTAGTGCCCTTGTACGGAAGAACAGGGAAGTCTATAGAATCTCGGTTCGCTGGCTCTAGCAGGGAGAAGAAGACTCACTGAGGCCCACGATGATCTGATATGTGCCCACCGTCATTTTGTCGTTGTCATTACGACCATACAATTTCGTGAACGTCGGGAGACCAGCAGTGCGCATCCAGTTCTGGAAACGCTCGTCGTTCTTCAAGTCAGGCATGTTTGATGCGTTGTACGTGGGATAGCGAAGTTGCCAGTTAGGAGGAGGAACGATGTCATCGTAAGAATTGTATCCGCCCGGCCCAACAGGGTTGCTAGTGTACTTTTGGGCTTCACCAGGCCATGCGATGCCTTTAGCAGAAAACTCATAGGTTGTCGAGGACACATTCGATCCAGGATTCTGAAGAACCGGGCTCGTGAAGGTGTCTGGATTGCGGGTTAGGTGGGAGGTATTCAACTTCGTCATCAAACGCACCATTAAAGATGGAGTTGGCGATCAGCCCGCAAGGATATATAGCTTTCCCATTAAGGAGATCCAATGGCTTGCAATCACCGCCTGACAGAGTACTGTTGCTCTCGAACTTGCCCTTGAGTTGGTCCGAGTTCAGACTCTTTACGTAGCGCCGGTGGTTTTGATAGAAGTTCGTGAGCTTGTAATACAAAAACACACTGGGATCGATGTCGGCGGGAATGTTGAATTGTATAATGCACTGTTTCTTGTCCAGCGGATCCGTCACCGATGCGTTGTTGGTGTTGTCCAAGAAAGCATAAGTCGGGGGAACAATGTTCTTCCCCGCATCCGCCGCCCGGAGCTTGTAAGAGTATTGACTAGAGGGCATGGTAGAAAAGGAAAGGGAGCCATTCGCCGAGGAGGGGGTGAGGTTTTCACATTGGGTATAGTCGAGGACAATTTCTGAGACCATGGAGGAGCCCCATATGAGAAGACCACCAATAGGTGCGAAGACGATGGCGATGATGAAAAGGGTAGGTAGAACGGTCTTCGGGGTCAGAATGAGCTGCCATGCCTTCAGTCGTTGCTGTTTGAAAGCGGTGTCTGGAGACGATGTAAGAACGGATAGAGGAGGGCTGTTGCGGGACGCGCACTCGCTGGGCGTCTCCAGCCACCCTTCTCCTTCTTCACCTCAGTGGTCTCGTCGCTCTCATCCCCTCGATTTGTCTTGCGGTTGAAAAGGCCCATGACGGGAAATGGAGAGGGACGGTGATGTGATGGGTCAGCACAGCAACATAATCACTTTCCGACTGGAAGCGGAGAAATGATCATGACGAATCTCGCCGAGCACGAGCGTCTCGAAATACGCTAATGTCAATCGCTCACGTATTACTATTGATAATGTACTCGTAATGTTCCAATCAGTCTGCCTCGACGTGCATCTAGTAACGGTTAGATACTAGGACCCTTATTGGAAAAAGCACTAGATAATAGTTCAAAAGCTCGAGCCTGTACCATTTGTCACAGAAGCTGAAGCATCGAAATCAGCCTGGCAGCGCGACTGGAGTGGCCTTGTAGATCGTTAGCATGGGCACGCAGACCCTCTCGACTCCAGATGTGGGTGCACAGCCTTCGTCTGTGACACGGTTGGCGGTGACAGCTACGTGACTTGACGCGCGTCGCAATCAAGCTCATAATCCTGCTCTACTTCACTCACCAACAGAATGTCCCGGTCCTACGATCGCGGTAACTACACACACGTTCTAATAAGTGAATGCATGGGCTCATTATGACCAGCTCTCACTGTCTTCTCTCCCGATGGCCATCTTTTCCAGGTCTGCACTCTATCTGACGCCAGCAGAACCTCGCTGACCGCGCGTTTGGGGCGTTGCAGGTCGAATACGCGGGTGAAGCAGTTCGGAAAGGTACATGTGCTGTGCGTTGTATCATCGATGCACCGAATTTGGTGTGAATTCTCTCAGGTCGGTGTGCGCGGAGCGGATGTCGTTGTTCTGGGTGTGGAGAAGAAGTCTGTACTGCAGCTTCAAGATCCTCGAACAGTACGGAAAGTAGTCATGTTGGATGATCATATCTGTCTTGCTTTCGCTGGTGCGGATCTTCTTCCCGGTCTCTCTCTTGGGCTCAATGTTCTTACTCAGGACTCACTGCTGATGGGCGTGTCCTGATCGACAAAGCGCGCATAGAATGCCAGAGCCACCGTTTGACTGTCGAAGATCCGGTCACCGTGGAATATATCACCAAGCATATCGCTGGAATCAAGCAGGTGGGAGCGAGTTCGCTCGATATGCTTCCCGACTAATACAGAAGAATAGAGATACACACAATCAGGCGGTGTCCGGCCGTTCGGAATCTCCACCCTCATTGTCGGCTTTGACCCTAACGACACAAGACCGCGTTTGTATCAGACGGAGCCCAGTGGCATCTATAGTGCTTGGAAGGTTTGTCGTATCAAAGACGACGAATCATTGGCTCAAGCTGCCTGTCAGGCTAACGCTATTGGTCGATCCTCGAAAACCGTGCGCGAATTTCTGGAGAAGAACCATAAGGACGATCTGAGCCGGGAGGAGACTATCAAGTTGACCATCAAATCTCTGCTCGAGGTGGTTCAAACTGGTGCAAAGAATATCGAAATTGCCGTCATGGAGAGTTATGGAAAAGTCACGGTCCGTATGATTTGACAGTCCATTCATTCATTCCTCTCAAAATCCTGGCTTCAGAATCTTGATCTTGCACAAATTGAAACGATCGTCGCTGAGATAGAGAGAGAGAAGGAAGCAGGTTGGTACCCTTGAGATCCCGTTCTGGCTCAGGCAGCTCATCAGACACAGAGGCGGAACGGAAGAGGTCGCGTTTAGCGGCAACAGCAGCTGGCCAGGCCGCCATGGCATCGAGAGTGGGCGGAGAGACCCCCGATGCCTAAGGGTTACGCCGTGTTCCTTATCCTTCAAATCTGTAAAAACACTGCTTACCTTGAATTGTGCAGTGAGCATCAGTGACAAGGTTGTGAGGAAGAACAGTCAGCTCTAGGCGGTCTGATGGTGGTGGTGGATCGGTTCATCCGCCACGTTACGAGGTAACGGATATACTGTCATTCGCGGCGAGTCAGTGAGCTGGCCTTGAGTTTTCGCTCTCGTTTCACTTGGTACTCGTCCACCTGGTGCATGGCATGCCTAGAGATCCCATTCAGAATGCGGAGAGGCCCTTTTCAGGCAGGCTTTCAATCTTATTGCATAAGCAGATTCCCTTTGCCTACTAGAATATCAGCTGCAAGTTTCGTGCTCGATGTACGGTCTATCTATGTTCATCTGCAGAGTGTGCTTGCTTCTACCGAAAGGTTCTCCATCATAAGTTCGCGCGCCCAATTTCCAGATTGTTATCGTCCCGACTTGTTGCGATCGCAGCAAGCACTCATCGGGAAAGGTCTCTTTCCATCTCTTCCACGATCTAGATCCGCCTCCGTATTCATCCGCCTCCTCCCGTATCCGCATTCTTCCGTGCTGCTGACATGCCAGTGTCCGACCAGTAATGTGATGTGATAAACATCGAGACCGGCCGAGGTAGTAAGTATGTGAGTCTTATAACAGCAAATTCTGCAGGTCTACACTACGCTGTCTCGTCTTGTCTATAAACTTATCAGCAAGAGTACTTGGAGCCATTCCAAGATAGTCTGGGACATAAAACTGAGACGGGAGTGCACGGGGAACGCTGGATCCTGGCCCACAAACATACCCCATACAGATGATGCACACAAAATAAGTAGCAAGTATGGTGTGCTTGATCACGCAAATTTTCAAATAAGTATGAGCCAGGCTCAGGCCTTGCTTCCTGCCCGACATGTCGTCAGTTGCTCGCATTGCATATCTCTCCTCAGACGTCTTGTTGACCTTCCAAGGACCGACTTTCGTCGGTCTGCGTAAATCTGATCCACCAACGGTTGTTTCCTTGCCTGTTGGTGCAGACCCGAGCGCCGCGCTCATCCGGCACGCAGCTAACGCACGGCTCGTGTCTCTGAGTGCACCTGCGACGCCCAAGATCGTATCGCATCTGGTGCCGCATCTCGCAGAAATCGCGGGCTTGCCTGTCGTAATCCATCTGTGCGCAAATGCCGACTTGTCTGACGCACTTCTCATCCGGCCCGCTGTTCCCTACTTCATCATTTCCTCGTCTGCGCAGCAAGCGCACGACAACGCCCTCCTCGCATCCCGCCTTGCGCGAACGGAGCACAAACTGGTGGTTCACGTCTATGATTCGACGGATCGGTCCGAAATCGAAGAAGCCGCGGAGGACAAGATTTCTGCGTTTCTTGTCAGCCCATCGCCCCCAGCGAGTGCTGTGAACGGAGCCAACGCCAATCATGAACTGGAATCCGTGCAACCGCTATTCAAGGCGTATGAAAGCGCTGCCCTGTCAACACTTTCACTCGTGCGCAGACCCCTGAAGCCATTACTTACACGGGGGGCGTCGGATCCGCATACAGTGGTCTTTTTGTTGGGCTTGACGGACTTGAAAGCGACCGTCGAGGGTGTGTCTTTCGTCACTATCGCATTGCTCAATCCCTTGCCTGCAGGACGTCTCCTCGGTGCCATCCCGGAGTCGGTCACCCGCGTCATAGTGCTCGAGCAGATCCATCGTTGGTCGATGAAATGGACCCCTCTCTACCTGGACATCCTTACGGCTTTGCAAGAGCGGGAACAACGTCCTGTGATAGAATCAGGCGTTTTCGGAGATGCTTCAGCTGTGTCAGAAGCGGACGTCGTCAAGTTCTTGGAGACACCTCCCGCGACGGGGACTCGGCTGCAGCTCGGTCCCAGTCCGGCTTCGCCGGCACTGGGGACGGTCGTCCCTCACGTGCCAAGCCATGAGCTTTCCTACACCAAAATCCTCGGACATGTCTTTGATGAACGATTGGAGATTTCCAACTCGCCTTCGCTCGTTCCCTCCCAGGGTGAGATCGCAACGAGCCCTGAATTCGCTCTTGGACGTGTCAGAGGACAGTTGGAACAGCGGGGCGAGCTTATTGGAGCGGTTAAGAGTCTCATGCAAGTCAAAGGACTAGACGCGGACGTGCACAATCTACTTGCGCAATGGATTTTGTGCAAGGATGACCCCTCAAAGAGCCGCAAGCTGGGTGATGGCATCGTCCAGGCCCTCGAAAACAGCCCCATTATCCATCCTGCGGCTGCACAAATTCTTTCGCTCCGTACCCATTTTGCGTCGGTGTCGCGTTGGATCATCGGTTCCGATGCTTGGTCATATGATCTCGGCGCGTCTGGGCTGCATCATGCTATTGCATCGGGATTGAATGTGAACGTCCTCGTCCTCGACACACTTCCGTATTCAGCGCGGAACTCGGCTGATCCGGCCCGCCGCAAGCACGACGTGGGCCTTTATGCGATGAATCACGGCGACGTCTATGTCGCCAGCGTGGCCGTGTACTCGTCCTACTCGCAGGTGTTGCAGTCTTTGATTGAGGCGGACCGGTTCCCCGGGCCGAGTGTGGTGTTGGCCTATCTTCCTTACTCGGACGAGGGAGCCTCTGCACTGGATGTGCTCAAAGAGACCAAGGTCGCAGTCGACACCGGCTACTGGCCGCTCTACCGGTGGGACCCGAGCAAAGAGGTGGCGGGTGCGGAGCCATTCTCGCTCGATTCCGATGCTGTCAAGAACGACCTCCAGCAATTCCTCGATCGACAGAACCACCTTTCGCAGCTCGTCCGGTCCAAGCCCCAGCTGGCCAGCGATCTTGTGAGCAGTCTCGGAGAAAATGTGAAGGAGGCACGGAAGAAGAAGGCGCAGCAGTCTTACAGCGAGCTGCTGTCTGCTCTCGACGCGCCCCCGCTTCTTGTGCTGTACGCGTCTGACGGGGGTGCGGCTGAGAAGGTCGCGAAGCGTCTGGCCAATCGAGGCAAGTCACGGGGCTTGTCGACCACTCTCGCGATCTTGGACTCCTTTACGCTGGAAAGCCTGGCCAAGGAGCAGTACGTTGCCATCGTGACTTCGACTGCCGGGCAGGGCGAGCCGCCTCAGAATGCCCGCACTTTCTTCAAGGCTCTGAACGCTGCGGTTGCTCGCGGAGAGCAGTCGCTCTCCGGCGTGTTGTTCTCAGTCTTTGCGATGGGGGATAGCCACTACTGGCCCCGAGCGGAAGATGCGCATTACTACAACAAGCCGGAAAGGATCTCGATGCGCGCCTTGAGAAGCTAGGGGCCGCGCGTTTCGCCGCGCTGGGCCTTGGTGACGACCAAGATGCCGATGGCCCTCAGACCGGTTACAAGATCTGGGAACCGCTCATCTGGAAGGCGCTCGGCGTTGATGCCGTCGAGGTCACCGAAGCCGAGCCAGAGCCTATCACCAACGAGCATATCAAGGCCGCCTCCCGCTATCTGAGAGGCACGATCCTCGAGGGACTGGGGGACAAGACCACGGGGGCTCTGGCACCCAGTGACGGCCAGTTGACCAAGTTCCACGGCATCTACCAGCAAGACGATCGGGACATCCGGGATGAGCGGCAGGCTCAGGGTGTCGAACCGGCGTTCAGCTTCATGATTCGTGTCCGAATGCCTGGGGGTGTCTGCAAGCCAGACCAGTGGCTTCAGATGGATCAAATTGCTGACGAGCATGGCTGCGGCACTTTCAAGATCACCACCCGCCAGACATTCCAGTTCCATGGGGTGATCAAACGGCACCTGAAGCCCGCAATCCAGGACATCAATCGGGCCTTGCTCGACACTCTTGCTGCATGCGGCGATGTCAACAGGTGAGCTGACTGGAGGCCGTGGTGCGCCAAGTGCTCAGTACTCATTTACAGAAATGTCACGTGTTCGTCCATCCCGACGATGTCCAAGCTGCATCAAGATGTCTTCGAGTTTGCCCGCGCAGTCAGCGAGCACCTTATTCCCCGGACGAGCGCATATCACGAGATATGGCTGGACAAAAAGCTGGTTGCCGGTGAGGCACTCAAGGATGTTGAGCCTCTGTATGGCGAGTTCTACCTCCCACGAAAGGTGAGCAGTCGGTGATGCATGTCGTCTGTGCTAAACGGGAGACAGTTCAAAATCGCTGTGGCAGTGCCGCCCACCAACGACACGGATGTGTTTACGAACGATGTGGGCTTCATTGCCATTGTGGATGCCCAGGGCGAGCTCTGCGGATTCAATGTGACGATTGGTGGCGGCATGGGTGTCACGCACGGAAACAAGAAGACATATCCTCGCATCGGAGATGTAATCGGCTTCTGCACTGTCGAGCAGGGCAAATTTGTCGCGGAGAAGATCATGCTCGTTCAGCGAGACAACGGAAACCGGGCCGAGTGAGCTACACAGTTGCGCATTCGCTTCTCCGTCTGACTTGTTACTAGCCGCAAGAACGCACGTCTCAAGTACACCGTGGATCGCATGGGCCTCGATGCGTTCAAAGCCGAGGTGGAGCTGTTGCTTGGGTATTCTCTGTCGGCGGCCCGGCCATACAGCTTTGATCGTAACGTCGACGATTACGGCTGGGCAGTGGGCGAGAACGGGGACCATCACTTCATGATGTTCATCGAAAACGGCCGAGTCCAAGACGAGCCGGGACGCAACTTCAAGACCGGGCTGCGGGAGATCGCCAAGATCCATCGTGGCACATTCCGTCTGACGACGAACCAGCATCTGTGCATCTCGGATATCCGCCCACAGGATCTCCCAGAAATAAAGCGTCTGCTCGCGGAATACAAGATGGACAACCTCGAATACTCTGGCCTCCGTTTGGCTTCGTCAGCATGCGTGGCTTTCCCAACTTGTGGTACGCGAATACAGTGCAAGCCATCGATGTGACGTGTCTCATGCTGCACAGGACTGGCCATGGCTGAATCTGAGCGGTATCTGCCGATTCTCATTGACAAAGTCGAGGCGATCTGTGAAGAGAATGGGTTGCGCAACGATGACATCGTGATGCGGATGACCGGCTGTCCCAATGGGTGTGCGCGCCCTTACGTTGCCGGCAAGTCTCCCCTGTCTATATCATTCACTCTTATTCACCGTGCTCCCAGAGGTGGCCTTTATCGGCAAAGCTCCAAAGACGTACTCGATGCTGCTGGGCGGAGGGTACTACGGCCAGCGTATGAACAAAATCTACCGAGGTATGTACTCTCCATCCTTTGGCAGTGGCATTTCACGAACCACCGTCGCCAGAAACGGTCACAGAGCAAGAGATACTCGCCATCTTACGGCCCATGATCAAGCGCTACGCATTGGAAAGGCTGGACGGAGAGCGTTTCGGTGACTTTACTATCCGCGCAGGATATATATCGGCGACGACAGCTGGAAAGGATTGGTATGTCGGCATGGGCGGGGAGGGGGAGCATAGACAAATTTCTGTATAACAATCGGTTGGCAAACATCGAAATCTACTTCTTTCCGCTTTTCCTCTCTTTCCGCTTTCTGCCAATCAGTGCCCCCATGCTCGAGCCAAGCTTGGGCGGATTTTCTGTCTGCGGCTTCGCCGCCACTCGCTGTTTCTTGGCGGGTGGCTCTTCTGGTGCCG